GTGAAACAGTCGCTGTAACAGGTGATGGTACCAATGACGGTCCAGCTTTGCGTACTGCAGATGTAGGCTTCTCCATGGGAATTGCCGGTACTGAGGTCGCGAAGGAGGCCAGTTCGATCATTCTTCTGGATGATAATTTCAAGTCCATTATCACGGCAATCTCTTGGGGACGAGCTGTCAATGACGCTGTTGCCAAGTTTTTGCAATTCCAGGTTACGGTCAACATCACGGCCGTGGTGCTCACCTTCGTGTCATCTGTATCCAACAGTGATAATAGCAGTGTTTTGACCGCTGTGCAGCTGCTCTGGGTAAACCTGATTATGGACACCTTCGCTGCTCTCGCCTTGTAAGTTGTCGTGCTTGATCTTTAACATTTCGCTTGGACTTTTTGCTAATGTTTTGGGAAAACAGAGCTACAGATGCCCCGACTGAACAAATTCTCGACCGCAAGCCTGTCCCCAAACACGCCTCCCTCTTCACATTGACCATGTGGAAGATGATCCTTGGTCAAGCAATCTACCAGTTAGCCATCACATTTATGCTTTATTTCGCAGGCGACAAGCTCCTCGGTGCCCATCTCAGCTCTGAACCTGAGTTGCGCGCCAAGCAGCTCGCTACTGTGGTGTTCAATACGTTCGTCTGGATGCAGATCTTCAACGAATTCAACAACCGTCGTCTCGATAACAAATTCAATATCTTCGAAGGCATGTTCCGCAATTACTGGTTCCTTGGAATCAACGCTATCATGATCGGCGGTCAGATCATGATCGTCTTCGTGGGCGGCCAGGCATTCAACGTGACTCGCTTGAGCGGCACCCTCTGGGGTGTTTGTCTTATCTGTTCTATTGCCTGCTTACCTTGGGCGATCATTCTTCGACTGATTCCAGATTACCACTTCGGGCTTGTTTTCAATGCCGTTGTTGGCGGCATGGCTGTTGTTTTGCGACCACTTTCCAAGGGCTGCAAGGCAATTGGTCGTGGTATCGGATCTTTCTTTAGGCCTGTGAAGCGTTTCTATCGCCGAATTTTCAACAGGCAGAAGTCAGTAGACGAAGCCGACTTGAATCCGCAATCCACAGAGTCTGCTGACCCCGAACAAGCTCCTGAGAAACTTGAACCCGGCAAGCAAAAGCCCTCACCTGGGCGTCCTACCACGCCTCCTCATGTCGTGATCCCCCCTATCACAATTACGACCTCTCCTTAGTTGTCCCTTTAGCGTTGGTGTTTTTGGTTTTTGGTGGGTTGTTTGATATTTTAATGTTAGACTGTTTGTGTACAAGCACAGGGTTCGATAGACGATGTGTATATACCACCAAAAAACGGCAATCTTAAAGTCGCATTGTAATGACGAAATTTCTTTTTCTCTACATGGAAAAAAAAAATCCAAAAACCTGTAGCCTGTTAACTCACTAGAATTCCCCAACACTAGAGAAATCAAGAGCCTTCAGGCAACTGAGTTTGAGTGCCATATTTCTGCCTCAGGCCACAACACACCGTCCACCAAGTGTCCAGCTCCATCTCCCGTGGACTCCCCAATTGACTCCGCATTGCCCTGTCGACTCACCCTGTCACCTGTTTGTGACCGCTTAATCTGATCTCTGTCTATCCCAAACATACCTTGATCTCTTATTATATCCCCATTGGATCTCCTATCGCTTGGAGACTCCCACGTCACTAGTAATCTCCCCGCTTCCGCCCACCGCACCGATAGACTAACAGGCAGCTCCCCACACAGCTCACATTATACCAAACTCACCCGACTGGCTAGGACAAGCATTTGATCGAGACTATTTTCTACTCTTTTTGCACCCTCAACCAAACCCCAACCGCTACCATGTCGCAAATCAACTACCGTACCATCAACATCGATGCCCTGGACCCCGAGTCCTCGGCCAACTTCCCTATGGAATCACTCCTTCCCGCCACACTTCCCCAAGCCGCAAGCGCTAGTGATGCCGCCAATGCCGCGACACAGGTGCGCCAGATGCTGCGCGGTGGTGACCCGGAGGGCGCTCTGCGGACTGTCCTTGAGACGGCGCCACTGGGCGGCGACGACCGCGCCAAGGAGGTGCATCTTGCCACCGTCATTGATGTGCTGCAGGGTATTCGTCAGGGCGAGATGACCCGGATCCTGGAGGGCGTGTGCAGCGGAGATGGCGGGGCTGAGCGGGCGGATTGCTTGATGAAATACCTGTATGTGGAACAACTGTTTCGATTGCCAGGAGAGGAACTGTCTGAAAGAAATCCGTGGATTTGATTACTGATTAATTGATTGCAGGTACAAGGGAATGTCCTTGGCTGCTCCCGGTAGCGGTGCCCAGTCGCCTAAGAAGTCGGTTTCGCCTCAGGACACGGGCTTCTCGCAGGTCCAGGCTCGCAACTTGGGTGAAGGTGGTGGTGGTCAGCAGATGAGCGTTTTGCTGAGCTGGCACGAGCGGCTTGTGGAGATTGCTGGTACTGGGTCGATTGTGCGGGTCATGACTGATCGTAGGACGGTTTGAGCGAAGAGAACAGTATTGGATGGAGGTTCGTTTCTTTTGACATACATTCTGACTGTTTTTATTGTTCTCCTCTTGATAGAGGCTTGCACTCCATACATCTCTGTGGATGATATCTCTCCAGTGTCGCTTTGAGCGTAGTTTTACATATTTATGTTGTGACAAAATGTTGTATCCTTTCTCTTTGCCCTTTTGTTTCCATTCTTCATGGTTTATCAAAACCACCTCCCTCAAGGACATCCTTCAGGTTAATATCTCCGCTGCCACGCTGCAAGGGCTGCGACTGGCCTTCGCCTTCCTTCCATCCAATCATAAAGATCAACCGGAACGTCGCCGGGATACCACGTGCACCTTCCTCCATATGCAGGGAACGATAAATAGCTTCATTAGCTAGTAAGACATCTCGCGAAAGCGGTGCCGAGTCACGGTTCATGATTGCGTTACCTTCGCCCATCGCCTGCAAATCCTGCATGAGCGCAAAGGTATCCGGGAACTCGACCACAATATCCTCAACATCAACAGTAAGCATCTTGAACCCAGTACGGCCCAGCAAGTTCCCGACATCCTTGACATCTGCCAGAGGCGACACATGTGGACTCACACCGCCGCGTCGCTCCATATCAGCCAGCTGTAGCGACCCGCGCAGCTCGTACAACGTATCGCCACCAAACATGGCCGCGATAAACGGTGCATCGGGCTTCAGCATTTTGTTCACCTGTTCCAGCAGTGCGGGCAGGTCGTTGATCCAGTGGATCGAGAGCGACGAGAGCACAGCGTCGAAGCTGTTTGGTGCGTACGGCAAAGTCTCCAGATCCGGAATCACATCTCGCTGGATGTTGATCTCCTTGTTAAACGGCTCGTTCTCGTCGCGGTGGAGCAGCGCGTGTGATGTCTCCACGCATGTCAACTTCGAGATCTTTTTTGATAGTGGTGTTGTGATTGTTCCTTCCGGCATGACTGAGTCGAGATCTGGGGATGTGAGAGCTCGGGCGATGTTGCAGCTGTTTGCGCCTAGATCAAGGACGTTTGGGAAGTCACGTTTAATGTCCTATTCATAGTGAGAGAAGCTCTTGTCAGTTGATGCGTCTTTTTTCTTTTTCTGCGCTTGATTCGTTCAACGGCTTACCAGTAAGCGATCACATAATCGCATTGCTACTTCATCTTTCAGGTAGTCGACTTTCCGACTCTCTTCGACATTCCGGGCAGCCCGATCTTTTTGGAGGTGCTTGACTTTGCGGTTGAAGACCTCAAGAACTGGATTGCCGGGCGCCTGGCTGGCAAATTTTCGGATAGTAGTAGTTGGGATGAGATATCGCCTTGAGATGCTGGAGCGAAATGTCTGTAGAGGTATCATTGTGGCTGCGGAATGGATATGGAGGATTCTAAACGCTCAAGCATGCAAGCCTGTGGTTTTGCGGCGACAGCGGGCAGAAAATGGCGGGATCTGACGTCGATTGTCGATGCGGAAGAGCTTCCTCTCCGTAGACCATGGACTTTTTGCAGTTGGTGTTTTCAAGACCCTGACCCGATGTCGCTTTGAATTCTGAAATAGTGCATATTTCCCAGATTGTGCACAGTGCATTGAGCGTAGCAGAGCCATTGCAACTCCTACTCGAACAAGTTTCCACGCGCCAGCACACTTCTCTCCGGGCCTCTGATTTGGCGCAACAAGGCCGAGATTCGGAAATTTTTATATTTTCATATTCGACAATACAAGCCATCGAATAGCCACACTTTTCTATCGGTCAAGCTGCTTACGCCACTACGCCACTACGCTATTCAGCTCTCGACTCACAGAGACGAAGCATGAATTGATCCAAATACACGCCTCGAAAGCTACTACACATCGTCTTGCACGCTCCTCCACGTTGATATCAAAATGTCGCGTCCTTTCCCATATACCTACATATCATGCCCCTGCGCTGACACCCCGGTCCCCGACCCAGCCAGGAAACGGAGGTCGAGGGAATCTCCGCAGAAACCACCACCAGAGCGGGGGAACACAGACCAAGGGAAGAAATCTTCAGCAAAAGGGGAACACCAAGAAGAGGATGAGGACGAAGAGCAAACTTTCGATCCCCGCTCTCCGCGGTCCAACTTCTCGTTGTACCCGCCTGAACAGCTTCTCTACTGTGAGGAGTGTCACCAGATCAAATGTCCCCGATGTATAACGGAGGAGATCGTGAGCTGGTATTGTCCTAACTGTTTGTTTGAAACGCCGAGTAGCTTGGTGCGAAGCGACAGTAACCGGTATGTAATAGTGAATGTGAAGGGTTGTGTTCAAGTATCCTCTAATATGCGCATATCTATAGGTGTGGCCGGAATTGCTTCAATTGTCCTGTTTGTACAGCTCCGCTGGCTGTGAGCACCATTGAGAATGCTACAGGGAACGGGCCTCAGCAGGGTCCGTGGGTGTTGTCTTGCGGATACTGTCTTTGGACGACGCTAGACATCGGCATCAAATTTGACAAGCCGACAAATATCCGTAGTCAACTGCAAAAGATGACAGATTCCACTCCCCCGGCTGCTCTCGACCGCTCGAGGCAAGCTTCTCGTACTTTTGCAGATTTGAAACATCCTTTGTCCAGCTTCGCCTCGGTTGACGAGCAATCCAATGCGCACGAGCGTGATGAAGAGCAAACGACACCAAAAGAAGACCCGGCTGCACCTCCAATGGGCACGGATGCCCGGTTCGCAGCCCTGAAAAGCTTTTACCGTACACAGATCGCTGAGACATCAAACTCGCCAAATGATCATCTAAGTTCAGAATTTGGGTTCTCCTCGCCCGGCGCCCTAAACCGGCTCATGTCTCTCTATGCATCCTCTTCGCGTCTAAGCGGGCTATATGGCGGCAGCAAGAAGCCCAAAACCAAGCTACCTGTCATGCGCGAAGCCCTGACTGCAAGCGAGGGCCTCCAGATTGCCCCAGAAAACAACGAGGCGGACATGATTGCACGGCTTCAGTCACCAGAATGTGGCTGGGATGGCATGGCCTCGATAAACCAGCGCGCAACCCAATCACCGGACGCCCGCTTCGTCGATGATCTCCTCCCACTCCCAGTCCTCCTTCGCACCAAGCGAGCCAAGCGCTGCAAGTCCTGCAAGCACATCCTCGTGAAGCCCGAGAGCAAGCCACAGTCTACTCGCTTCCGCATCCGCCTCATTGCCCTCAGCTACATCCCCCTCCCAACTCTCCGCCCTCTAGCCCTCTCTTCCTCATCAGCCCTCCCAGCCATGGTCCCGACCTCCGACCTCAACTCCCTCTCCCCCCTGCGCCCAATCCACGTCCTTCTTACTCTAAAGAACCACATGTTCGACCCCGTCCGTATCACCCTCGCCACGCCCCCCGTGACCCCAGGCCGCGTTGCAACCAAAGTCACAGTTCTCTCTCCGCAGTTCGAGATTGGCGCCAACAGCGATGTCTGGGACGAGGCGTTGCAGGGTGGCTCTGCGCCCTTAACGAGTGACTCTCGCCCCGCCGCTTTACGCGGAGTCCCGGAGGCAGGCAAGGTGTGGGATAAAGGCCGGAACTGGACGACTGTCGTGTTGGAGGTTGTCCCTGGCACGTTGCCTGGGAGTAGTGCTGAGAGCGGTGGTGGTAATCCAAAAACCGAGACTCATGATGAGGACGTCTTGACAGTTGCGGCTTCTAGGCAGGATGAAGATGTGCTTGAGATTCCGGTCTTCGTGCACATGGATTGGGATGCGGATGCGCAGCTTGATCAACAAAATGTTGGGAAGGGGTCTAAGCCTGATGATAAGGTTACCAGGGAGTTGGCTTATTGGATGGTGCTTGGTGTGGGGAGAATTCAGGCTTCGTTGTAGACACCTAGGGGATCTTATCGTCTTGTTCATGTTCGCGTCAGCTTGTTCGCGTCTTATGCCTTTCATACCCCGAGTGTTTTTGGTTTTTCTCTCGTTCATAGAAGCATCCACATACTATTGCCCAGTGAGCTTTGGATTCGATACTGCCAATATGGCACAACAGCAGAATAGTTGTAATCTACTCCTCTAAGCCTCGGAGACATATCCAACATTTAAATCTGGATGCACCCAGGTAATCAATCTAATAATCTACAAGCACGCTAGGTCCCAGTCCCAGCCAGACAAAACCATCTAAGTAAGAAGCAATGAAAAGTCGGAATCGTTGAATTGGAATGCTATCAGAGATTCCATTCCACTTTCATTAGACTGGGAGATAGAGAACTCAACTCCATCGCCTCACCCAGAGCTCACAACGGATACCAAAACCAATGCAACCAGTGACTGGGGGCAAAAAAAGAAAAGAGAAAAAACCGTCAATGCATTTTTTATGGAGATCATCTCTTTGGAACCCATCAATGGCGTTGAATCTAGCGACAATTCATGACTAGAAACAATGCCATTCTCCCAAGCATCAACCGAGCACATTCCAAGCCCCTAGCCCCAATAAAAGTCAAAGTGAACGAAGAATTCTAAACATGCATTTAGAACTCAGCGCCGCTCTGGGGGAACTCGAAGGCAACGGAGCGGCCGGTGAGACGGCGGTAGACCTCGCCGTAGGCATCGAGGCGGTGGTCGACACCACCACGCTCCTTCTCGTCGAGGATGACCTTGAGGGTCTTGGAGCCGTCCTCCTTGGTGCGGGTGCGCTTGCCGACAATCTCGACGGGGTAGACGAGGTCGGAGAGGATGGAGTCGTGGACAGCGGTCAGAGTGCGCGAGCGGGGGCGCTTCTGAGTCTGGGTGGTGCGCGAGTTGACGGAGCGCTTGGGGCGGGGCAGGATGCGGCGCTGGGCCACGAAGAGAACGTGGCGGTCGGAGAACTTCTTCTCGAGCTCACGGGTAAGACTTGGTTGGTGTTAGCTTCGGGTAGTTCTTTATTTTCGAGGGGGGCTTTCTGTTGGTCCGTTGGTGTTGAAAGGACTGGTGGTTGCTTACCGCTGCTGGATCTTGTGGAAGTTGTTCAGGAGGGGGACGGGGACGAAGACAATGATGGCCTTCTTGCCGTGGCCGACCTCAACCTAGATAGCGAAAATAATGTCAGAGCGTTATCCGGCTGAAAATGTCGTGCACACAAGAAACATAATTCCTCCTGGAACGGCGTCTTGAATTACGAAATTTCACATCCATCCATGTGTTGCCTCCTCTGCTGATGATTCCTCTCCATGTTGATGATTTTTGGCGTTGGTGAATGTGAGTTGAATTCAGTCCACAAATCCAGCCAATGTCCCCCCGGAGCTTCGAAATTCCTCAAAAATTCACAGACGCCATTCCAGAACGATTTATTTCGCGTGTCGGGAGCCTTGAGCAACAATTCTTACCTCGCGGGCAGAGACGAACTGCAGGGGACGAAGGCTGGCCTTCAGGTCCTGTGTGTTGCTCTCAAGGTCGAAGAGAGCGCCGGCGATCGCGGTCTCCAGCTCGGAGGGGTTCTGCCGGGACGGCGAGTTGGGGGCGATCTTGTTGATGGCAGCCATTATTGCGAGCGACGGGGTGCTGCGGGAAGTGCTGGTGGTGATGTCGACGGAGGGGAGGTTCGCAGATTGAATCGAATGGGAATTTCCTGTGGGATCGGCGCATTCGCTTAGGGTGCGTGATTTCCTATTTGAGCTTAGCGTCGCCGTCTTAGGGCTCATTGATGATTGGTGGGTTGTTGCTGAAGGCGATCCACTATCCGACTTGCCTTTGGTTGACAACTCCCCCAGGACCTCTTTTCGGCCAAATTATCCTACTCTCCATGATTATGTAGGTACAGAAACCAATTTTGCTTGCTGATGCCAATTTTCAACACATTTACAATCTAATCACATTGTTGAAACGAGGTGTTTCTCGGGAAATAGCACACTGTGGGCTATAAGAGCACACGGAGCCTCCATTGGAACCGGAACAAGCACGAACTGAAAAAAAAGCAAGGGGGACGCCTGTATCCATAGACATAATTGCAAGAACATCTGCCAAAAAAATGACCCAAATCAGCAAGCACAGCCCTCCTTAGCCGTAGCAGTGTTCCGATCACCCAGGTTAACCCGTGCGTCTTCTGCTGCCCGATTACTCAACGAGGTCTGGCCAGTTCCCGCGCCGGTACCACGGCCAGTCTTCAGACTGCTCTCGGGAATGGCATTGGCAATTGCCGTGAAGACATCCACAACATTGGTTCCGGTCTTGGCGCTAGTCTCGAAGAACAAAAGACCCTCCTCCTCCGCATAGCCGGTGGCCTCCCGTGTCGATACCTTGCGGGCATCACCGGATACAGCATCCTGCACCTCATCTTGTTCATTGGCGCCTTCGCCACCATCCTGCACTGATTCAGACTCGCTCTGTGCAGCGCCAGCGGCCTCGGAAACATCACCGCCATCATTGGTCAAGTCCAGCTTGTTACCGACAAGGGCAATGACAATTCCTGGGCTCGCTTGGCGCTGCAGCTCGGCGACCCAGTGCTTGGCTTTTGTCAGCGAAGAAGGTTTCGTAACGTCGTAGACAACAAGCGCCGCTTGCGCGTTGCGGTAGTACATTGGGGCGAGCGAAGCGAACCGCTCTTGGCCGGCAGTATCCCAGATTTCGAACTTGATCGTGCGCGTAGGGAGGGAACATTTTTGCGTCAGAAATGCGGCTGGAAAGTTGACGTTAGTTGATTATCCTAGTGTAAAGTACCATTTGAGGGGCTAGGGTGGCCCGTTTGTGGGGGCACGACTCAATTTTAGACACAATATACTGCCCCTGGGTTCTCCAAATAATATATCCTCTGCCAGGGACAGTGCCTCGTATCTTGTGGGGGCTAAATCCATGGGGGAATCTTACCGCCAATGGTTGGTTCCTTGTTCTCCTGGAAATCATTGTTGACGAAGCGGAGGACAAGCGATGACTAGAAGCGGAACAAAGAGGTGGTTAGTTGTTGATAATGGTGTAACATGATGAATGGAGGAGTAATACCTTGCCCACTGCGGCCTCTCCGAGCAGTACAAGCTTGACACTGCTACTCGGCTTCGTGGCGTTTGTGCTAGCTGATTCGGACATGGCTGAGACAACGAAACAACAGTGAGATCAAAGTAGCCACAAACTGGCCTTCTGTGGGTTATTCTTCTTCGATCAATCAGCGATCAGGCGATCGGATGAGGTGGCAGGTTGATACAGCTGGTGTCTACAGTTCGGGAAATGGGGCTGCCTAGAGGTAAGACAGGAGCTGGGAAACGAGTCACTGCTCTTGCGCTCGTATTGGTAAAGTAATTCAATCCTTGTTGAGGTATGGGAATGCAAAGTGTAGTATAGCCGTTACTGAGACAAGAACGATTGATCCTGAAGTTGGAGAGAGGCGGAGGTGGATGATGACGGGTGCCTCGATTGGGATTAGCGTGGTTGACAGAGACCAGTCACGGGAGGCCTGTCTAAGTTTGTAGTAAACAACCAACATACTTGGCATGTTTGCATTTCAAATGCATTGCTCATACTTCTATTTAGACTTCATTTTAATTCCTGTATCTATTTAAAGGGACTAACACAAGAGCTACGTTGGATGTTCCAGGATCATCTCCCGCATTGCTGATCTCACATCATTGGATACACAGTACCGATGGCATGCAGATAACATGGACATGGCTGTCGGGATATGAAGACTCGGAAAGAGTGACCTAAAGACACGTACTAAGACTTGATAAGAGGTAGGCTACCGCGGGACAAACATGTTCCTGGGACCTTGACAACTGTCACAGATTGGGCTAGTGCCCGACTGGCCTGCAAGATGATGTCGGGCTCCAGTTAGGAAGGACCCTAGTCAGACTCGGGAGACATTAGCCGATGCAACAGCTAGGCCCGCATCAAAATTCGGGCTGTTGTTCCTATCTCGGCTTTAGTCGACAAGCAAATCTGCCCGATGCTAGCGCAACCGCGGTCGGTCAGGTAGAAGCAGAGTACGACCTGAGACAGATACGAGTTTGCAAACTTGGGGATACAAAACACATCTATATATGTACGTGAAGCCTTCGATAGTGAAACGAACTAGTTGGATGTAGAATGTAGAGTAGAAAAAGCAATTTCACAGGCGTTGATAATTATGAGATTGGTGCGTAAAGATATAATACAGAAATCAACGTCAGAGTTAATAGTACAAATGCTCATACAAATAAACGCAGGAGCAGTGCCCATCCAATAGTAAAACAAGAAAAGCAATCAAAGCATGCTATTGACCATGAGGTCGAGGCTCTAGATTTTGGTATCAGCCCATCCCAATCAATATTCCGTCCCGTCTATACCAAAACGCCGGTAGATGATGAGAAACAAAGACAAAAGACAAAGGAAAAAAAAATCAAAATCAAAATAATCACAAAGGCACTTTTTGGGATGGTGACCGTGGTGTCGAGTCGTGTCAGAGATGAAGTAGAACGTGAGGTGGGGCGGAATAGGGTTTTGAGGCCCAAAGAATAAGGATAAGGCGCATGTGTGAAGACGACAGATGAGAGGTCGAGAAGAAAAAAAGCATCATCGCTTGGTATCCGAAAAGAAAGAGGCAAAATGTCGAGCCAAATTAAAAAGGGTATAATGTCGCGCGATGCCTGTGGCGAATAGGCAAGAAAAACAACGTGTGGCCCGTGATTAGGACAACGAAAAAAAAGAGATATTGCTACAGATATCTAACTAATCCAGTTAGCTTTGATGCCCGAAGGTGGGCTCAGTGTTGGCAAGTCTTACCAAAATCAGGTAAAACTCCACAACGCATGTGGGTCAAAAACTCCAGCCACTGTTGGGCGCCAGACCATACGGAACAAGACCGATTGGTGTAGAAAGCAATGTTGAGTATGACGAGGTTGTTTCCGAATGGGTTTATTTCGGTGGTGGAGGAGGAACGCCGGGCTTCTTCACTCCAGTTGTGTCGTAAGCTCCTCTTCCCATGTTGAAAGCAGATAGGTCCCGAAGGATCATATTAAGGTCTGCGGAAGAAGTCATGGTTAGATGTTGAAAGTCGAACGATTGTATGATAGAAATAGGCGAGTCCTTTGCGAATGCGCCAATTGGCAGGGCGAGGAATGAAATGGTGGGAGACTTACCAAGTAAAGGGGATGTCGAAGCCAGGATCTTATATGGACTTGGGAAACAAATAGACAAACGGAGTCCCGATCCAACCACCCGCGGAAATCAAAATTTTTTGAGAAAAAAAAATCAGGTCGAGACAAAAAAAAAACCCGGCGGGGCAATAGATGCAAATGCAGACGGGATCGGAAAAGTTGGTCCTTTTGTAGAATCACCACTAGGACGATGCGGTATCCAACAGAATCGTAGGGCAGGAATGTGACGAAATGGGCCCAACAAATGAGAATGAAATCTCTTGGGGGAAAGCAAAATGGTGGATAGGTCGCAGCTCGTTGCTTTTTATGAGTGGTAGGAATCAAGAATAAAATCGAATTCTCAAAATGATATGCGCCAGGGTGGCTGCAGCGAGTCCATAAAAATCGCGATCCGAACCAAGAAAACGGGCAGAAGGGATATGAGGTTTAAGACGGCAAGGGAGCTAAGGAGGAAGTGCTCCGGAACTGGCCCCGGTCGATCCGGACAAAGTTCTAATCGACGTATCGCAAGGGAGAAGGGAGAGGAAAGGAGGGCGGTAGGGGGTGGATGTGTAGAAAGAGTTATCAAGTATGTTCAAAGGAAAATAGGAAGGGGGGATTTGCGTTGATATAGACGGTTTTTTCTTAGCATTGGATTTTTGGAAATTTTTTGAATTTATCGTTTTAGAAAATCAATTAAAAAGGACTGAAAATCAAATCAAAAAATCCCAATTATACAATATCTTTTTAAAAAAAAAACCCATTTTTTTTTAAAAAAAAACATTGATTTTTGGCTTCTGTTTTTTGGTATTTTCTTTGTTTAGCACAGCGGCTCTCCCGTCCCTGGTCCCGGGGAACAAGAACGCGAAATGTTCCCCCCTTTCTTCTCCAACGTTTCTACTGTATAGGCTTACCAATTTAGTTGGTTTTTAGCCAATTAACGTTATAAGAAAATAACTGAAAAGGTACCCTCTGATTTATCACAAGAATATCTGAGATACATCTAACCTATGTCTTCATCACTGTCAGGGCCAAAAGTCCAAAATATGTATCAACTAGCCGTAGAAGCTCTCCACTATAAAGCTAGGAACCAAATCTCCGGGCAGCCTTTGTGCATAAGTGGAGCCCCCCAAAAAAAAGAAAGGGAAAAACAGCCGCAGGAACGAGAAACGGATCCCTCAGAACATCGTACTTTTTTTTTCTTTTGAATTTCTTTTGAATTTCTCGCGTGGTCGGTCTCCATCGGGTTGCTTAGTTCAGTTTCCTACAACAGTGTTAAACCCAAAGAAGCGAGATACTCACAACCCTAATGGCCAAGGGTGATTTTGACATATGATGCTTAGGTAAATAATCTCCTAGCCAACTCAACCAGACACTCTAAGGTATTTCGGCTATTAATTAAAGCCAACGGGCCTTCACGCGGTTTCCCGTGCAATACTCCCATTAAGACCAGTCGCAAACCTCGAATCTGGTCTCGGAAGTCTTTGAATCAATCCCCGTAAATTCGCCTACAATTTACAATTCACCAGACACGAGACACATCGGAAGCCAATTTAACATATCGCAATTTTCAACTTCATTGCCATCGACTTTGTCTGATGATTCTCTATGCACCGATTAAGATGGGGGGGGGGGGGGGTTTAAAAAAAAGTAAATAGAGGATTATCTTTTACAATGGGCTCCAACATAGGGGGGTGGAGATACACTACACAAAGGGGATTATTACGGAGCCCTAAAGCAAAATCCCGTCTCGATTACGTATGAACATTCTTTTCACCTTCTAGCCTTTCTTTTTCTTTCCCGGGAAGCTGGGTAAAGACAATAAAGAACCTTGGTGCCCGCAGATGTACACTCCGTACACAACGTCTAGAAACATTCCATTTTGAAAGGAAGCCCCACCCCCATAATTTGGACTGTCTACAAGGTAATTAAGGGTATCTGCGTCAGCTTTCATATTTGCCACACCAGAGCTGGCATCTGGAAACATTTCACCAAATGGCACTACTCTCCCATCTGTGACACGATTCATATTACGAGCTTCCAAGCTTATGAAAGGGATTCGTAGGCGTGTTTCAGCCCCGTGCCCACCCCATACCAAAAAGGAGGAAACTTTTCTCCCGCCAACACTGAATCTGAGTCTCCCTCGTGGAAATCGGGGGCTGGACGATCTACCGTACAGTAGATTGCAGCCTACCGTTAAGAGATTCAAGGCTCGTAAAATGACCATGCGACGGAAAAGATCGATCTCACCTCGACATCCTAGTACTGTGGCTTGCTCTGTCACACTATTCTCATAATTGAAACAAGACATTCTCTCATGCCTTCCTTTCGAACTTCTGACTCTGCCTTCCTCAACTTGCATTTTCCCATGTTCAAGATAGGGGAAAACTTTCTTCGTGCTTCTCCCGCACTGATCATCCACTGTGGACCAACTCTTTTTTTTTCTTTTAAAAAAGAGGTTAAAAGCTTACTCTGGTTTTTTTTCCTCCTAACGTCTGAGTATTCCGACCTAGAACGTAAGAAATAATGTGAAAAAAAGCCCGAGGATTTGACAATGGAGACGAGCTTCCTATAGTGGAACTGTTATCGTACGGAAACTGTCTCAAATACGGCTAGAATGGCGCTAGAAACGGGAGAAAACCAAGAGTCTCTCCATTTCAGTCTCCATCAACTCCATCCACTCCATCTACCACTCCATTCCATCATATAGTCAACCTTGATGGCCCCAATTTCTGTTTTATTGCCTCCCCCTTTTCACTTGGGGGAATGCTATCTAAGCCCAACGCATTCTGGATCATGCATGGCCCAATATGGTGGTTCATACGGAGAACGAAGTAGATATTCTAGATACTCCGTAAACTGAGATAAAGTCTAGAGCCTGCATTAGTTCAAAAAACAAGGTTAGCGATTGCATGAACCGGCTTCCATCGTTTCCGGAATGTCTTAGTCTTCCCGAGACTGGAACCATGGATACAGTTCATCCTTTCATTATTAATTTTTTTTTCTGGTCTCTCAACGGATTCCTTTGTAGTAAATCGCAACTACCCGCTTGACTGTGGCGTCAAGATATCGAAAAAACGGTTGCGGATCACCACCCGCATTGACTTTAGGATTTGCCGTGCAGCGCATCGAGAGGAAGCAGGGGGTTCCTAGTCCGGATGCATCGAGCCCGGCCTCTTTGTTCATCTGACAGGCGATGTGGATGTGTCAACGCTCCTAAAATTGGGATATACGCGACCTTGTTTCCTTTTTGGAACTTGCTTTTTCTTTTCTCTGGTGTGTGTGCCCTGTGGCGGAGTTGGACTTGTCTCTTAGCAATCTACATGTCACTAGGAACAGGGGAAATGGCGCACTAAGACTCCGCGGATGTAAAGCCGGGCGATCTTAGTTCACTTTTCCGATTCCCTCAAAAGACGGCTCCATATTTGGAAAATTCTAGAAGCACTGCTCCGTACTCTGTGCTCCATGTATACTCCATAGTCGATGGTGATGACGGGCTGTAGTTAGTTAATATCCACACTCGGTATTCCGCCTGTACTCCGCTAGTTAAAGTCAAATGGGGTCAAATGGGGTTGAATAGAAGAAGAGAGAAGAAATCAAAATCAAATTTAGAGTCAACTCAATTGGAATTGGAACCGCTTTCCCCGTCCCGAGACAAACGCTTTTTCAGCCGCCTCACTTCTTAGCTTCTCCTTTTTGTTTGTAAATCATTTGATGTGCACTCCACCAAGAAATCTCCGGACTTCCTTTGGCTCCCGAGACATAGCGGCAGCTCACAGCCGAACAGAGAAGGTGGGAAAAAAAAAGGTGGCCTAGGCCTCTAGACCTTTCTGGACTCTGATGGACTGACTCTCTGGATCCTGAGTGACAGGCCCAAATCCACATCGTGGCCCGATTGCCTGATTAACGCTCAGAGAAGAGACATATTTGACGATCGCCGACAGCTCCACGGCTCCAGCACCAGTCTGTCGGGTTCGATCGACTCATTTCTTTTCTGCCGGGTCAACCCCTGACTTCGGGTACCTATTTTAGATGTCACGACATGACGCATGAATGGGGAGATTATGACTGATCCGAGCATGACCCACATCGATTTGGCTCGGCTTTTCGTCGGGGGATCCGCGGCCACTTGATGCGTGGACGGATAATGTTCCCCGAGATACTGCTGCACGGCAATCACGTCTCTGGTGGAGCCAAGTACATCGTACCTACATACTTAGTGCGTTACACTCTCTGCAATTTGTACATTCGGGCATGCGGACATGTACCAGAATACAATATGCAGCCGTATGACACGCTGCTGAGCCAAAAAAAGAAGACGCAAAAGTACATTCTCATTCTGCAGTGTTGATCGCTGCGATGCAACCTTGGCCCTTGGACGCCATCAATGATGATCTGATGTGATAATGTCTGATCCTCCGGATAACATTGCAAAGATTGATGCCACTTGCACTTGAGACGCCTCGTCATTTGCTTGTACATTGACTTCGCTAATTTGCAATGCACTTGCTGTCTGAGCCCGCTAGCCTGCAGATCATCAGAGCCACCAGGACCACAGTTGAGACTTCGATCCTCCCCGAGGCGATCAGAATCGATCGCGTCAATCACCCAGTTTCTGTGTCTTGCATACAATCAGACTAACCTTGGGGACCGGGGAACAGTCTTCCCCACGAAGCTATCGAATCCGACAACCTGGATGTGTCACATTCACCCTTGATCTAGGTTACATTTCACTTTTTGTTTTTAGTTTTTTGTTTTTAGTTTTTTGTTTTTTGTTTTTTGTTTTTTGTTTTTTGTTTTTTGTTTTTTGTTTATTTATTATTTAATTCTTCGGTTGTACAGAGTATGGGGTACACGATCCACAAACGAAGTAACCCAAGCTGGTGCTGGTATGCAGGGACTGTGTCCTCATGCCTCTCTTTTCCCCCTACCTACTGCCGTTGCAGAGCTCACGTACCAGGAATGATAAACCATGCATTGCATATGTTGTATATGCATTGCATTGAAATGAGGCGCAAAATGTGACCAAGTACTTGGGACCACAGTCTTACCGACTCCCAATCACCGGGTTTTGCAATCCAGGGCTGAGAATGACCCATCGGAGACTACCTGTCAACCTAGCCACATATGATCTCCTTCCCCAGTGGCAAGTGTGAGAAGGACGGGGCCAACCATGCCACAGGCTTGGTAAATTTGGGTTTAAATTTCGGTTATTTGGAATACTTCGATTGAGTATGTACGGGGTGCACAATGTAGAAGAACCTTAGAAGACATTCATCAATATTTTGAGTCGTGATTTAACCATGTGCAGCTCCCCGACCTCCTCCATCGGCCCCCAATGAAGGTGCTATACAACATAGTCACTACCAATAGCAAACGAAGGGGAAAAAAAACAGACATGGCTCGGCACTGCGCATGAGAAATCAGCTCTGTGAACATGCACAGTGATATGCCATTTCAAACTGCAAGTGAAGACAAAGTCAGTAAATCAACGTATCTAGAGATGGCAGCCCAAAATCAAACCCTAAACCCCACGAGAGGTCAAGGCTACAGTCACGGTCAATAGTCCTCAATATTTGAAACCACACACCTGTTCATTGGTCTGACAAACTAAAACCCGGGGCCCCTTGCCGGAACCCTTAGAGATATCCTTGACCGTCTCCTCATCCCCAGGCCCCTTGTCATTAGCCGTATCATCAATTACCAAACCTAGACACTGGCATCTATCGACCAGTGTCCGTCTCAGCAAGGCGCTCTTCTCACCGATGCCGCCGGCGAAGACTACACCGTCTAATTCACCGTCTAGTTTAACGTAGTAGCTGCCGATGTATCCCTGAATGCGGTCGACAACGATGTCGAATGCAAGTTTATGTGCTTTGCTTGGTGGGTTCACCACCGCGATCTGGGAGAAGTCGGTTGTTCCTGTGAGGGCTTTCCAACCTGACTGTTTGTTGAGAATATCTTCTGCCTGGAGTTGGTGAGTTTTGTCAGTTTTTTCATCGTTAATTCTTTTCTTTACGCACTAAGCCTCTGCAATGAGCATTCATACCGTGCTGATGTGCATTTCTGATGTGCTGGCTGGGCTTAGCTTGCCTGCTTCGTTGGTATAGTGGAAGACCAATCTAGATCACGAGGTATCAGCTCGCCATTGCTGCATTGCCAGAGATGGCCAGTCGATTTCAACTCACGATGGATCAATACTTCCACTACGTGTTGCACCGGGTAATCCTGCCAAAGGAGTGAGGCCCATTCTAGCTACCGCGTAAGCACGATTCCCGACTCAAGATAGATTGAGATGCGATATAAAATTCATCGCGTGAGACTCACGATGTATCCACCGACTTCCCGTCCTTGATCGCACAGATCGAGGCACCGCTACCGATATGCATGACGATGAGATTTGTCTTCTCGATCGGTTTGTTCAAAAATTGTGCTACAGACCGCAGGATAAACGAGTAGCTGATTCCGTGGAATCCATACTTGCGCAGGCCATTCGCCTTCGCGGTTTCCTGGTTGATTGGATATGTGCGCACGGCTTCGGGGATTGTCTGGTGGAAAGCAGAGTCGAAGAAGGTGATGCTTCTGACTTTGGGGAGCTCGGCTTTGCACAGGCGAACTATCTCCAGCGCGGAGAAGTTGTGTCTTTTGATCGATTGACGTTAGCGAGAGGTGTACAGTCGACCCAGGCATAAAATCCCGGATATGTAAAGACTCGAGATAGTTGAACTAACAGAGGTGCAAGATCTTCCAATCCTTTCAAGCGATCAAGTGTCTCGTCATTGATTTCGACTGCATCGCGGTAGTCTCCTCCGTGGACGACTCGGTGGCAGATGTATTCTAGATCGTCGACACTGGCGACTTCAGAAAGATTGGGATCGCTGAAACAGCGCTGCAAGAGGTATTTGAATGCGTCTTGGGGGGTGCTGAGTTTTTCTTTGATTTCCTCTTTGTGCTTTTTGTCTCCTTGTTGGTACTTGAGTGTAGGTGGGGGTGCGGTAATTCCAGGGATTGCCGCATCTGCAATGGTTCTTGGTGGATTCTTGAAGGTATAGAAGGTTATTTTGACGGAAGACGAACCCGCGTTAACAGCAAGGATTGATTTGGGCATTTTCAAGCTATACCACGAAATTGAGTAGATGCCTTGGAAGATGTGATTAATTTTTTTTGAAAAGCTGAACTTGAACTTGGCTGTTCCAAGACCGTCGTGGTGATGTCAGGATGTGGAGTGACGTCGCCAACACGGAGAACAATGCGGACTTGTTTGATGACACCCATTTATTTACTTGTCTCTTTCAATTTCACTATCATTCTCAAGCTTCGTTTTTTATTTCTTGTCCTGCCTTGAACTTGTCTTTAAACATTCTTTTGCTTCTGCCAACCCACCCAAGAACCTACAATATCAAATCCATCATGCCTCCGGAAGTCATAAGCGAGCCAAATCCACAAGCGCTGCCGTCACATCTGCCAGACTATCTTGAGAAATTGAGCGTGAAGTTGGATCATGAGAACCTAGATGAGAAGGTCTGCGATGCCTTACTCAAGTTTCGCCGAGCGGCTTATTACATTGCGGCAGGTAAGCGCAATAACACGCTATAAATTCCAACAGCGCGACTAAAATTATGCTAGCTATGATATTTCTGCAAGAAAATACCCTTTTGAAGTCGGAGCTCACGTTTAACCACATTAAGCCTCGGCTACTTGGTAGGTAGCGTCCTCGAAGTACTCAGCTCGGTCATCATGACTGATGCCATACCTCAGGACACTGGGGAACATGTCCGGGCCTAGTTTTGGTCTACTCTCATTTGAACTACCTGATCCGCACAATGGACCTGGACATGGTGTATGTTGTCGGCCCAGGACATGGCGCACCGGCAATACTAGCTGCACTATGGCTAGAAGGCTCGCTGGAGAGATTTTATCCCCAGTATTCGCGAGATAGTAAAGGCCTGCACAATTTGATCTCGACTTTTAGCACAACAGCTGGACTTCCCAGGTCAGTACCTCGCTTTGCTATTTAGTTACTTGGTTAACAGTTATGCGCAGCCACATCAACGCCGAGACCCCCGGTGCTATCCATGAAGGCGGAGAACTGGGATACGCTCTAGCAGTGTCTTTTGGCGCCGTTATGGACAACCCCGATCTGATAGTGACCTGTATTGTAGGTGACGGAGAAGCTGAAAGTGGCCCAACTGCTACGTTCGTCGATTTTCCCCCCTTGTCAATGTAAAATGCTAATAGCATATAGGTCCTGGCATGCAATCAAGTATCTTGATCCAAAGGAGTCCGGAGCGGTTTTGCCAATTCTGCATTTGAACGGATTCAAGATCAGCGAACGCACTATCTTTGGATGCATGGACCACAAAGAGCTTCTGGCTCTCTTCAGTGGGTACGGGTATCAGGTTCGCTTTGTGGAGAATATCAACGACATTGATGCGGATTTGCACTTCTCTATGGTCTGGGCCATCAAGGAAATCCAGAAGATTCAGAAGGCTGCTCGTTCTGGGAAGCCGATTATGAAGCCTAGGTGGCCGCTATTGATTCTGCGTACTTCCAAGGGTTGGTCGGGGCCCAAGGAGCTTCATGGCAAGTTCATAGAGGGCTCGTACTATTCGCACCAGGTCCCATTGCCAAAAGCAAAGACTGATAAGGAAGAGTTGGGTCTGCTACAGGAATGGCTCTCAAGTTATAAGCCGGAGGAGCTGTTCACTTCGAACGGTGATGTAATTGACGAGATCAAGTCTGTGATTCCCGCGGAAGACAAAAAGAAGCTTGGTCAGCGCATTGAAGTCTACAACAGTTATACAGCACCAAAGTTGCCAGGTTGGATGCCATTCTGCGCAGAGAAAGGCTCCAATGCAAGTGCCATGAAAGTGATTGGCAGCTTCATCAATCAGGCATTCAAGGACAACCCGAGTAACATCCGGCTGTTCTCGCCGGACGAGCTGGAAAGTAACAAACTCGATGGGGTGTTCGAAGGCACGAACCGCAATTTCCAATGGGACGAATTTGCCAACGCCCGTGGCGGTCGTGTAATTGAAGTCCTTAGCGAACACATGTGTCAAGGATTTATGCAGGGTTATACCTTGACCGGCCGCATTGGCATTTTCCCATCCTATGAGAGCTTCCTCGGCATCATTCACACGATGATGGTGCAGTATGCCAAGTTCATCAAGATGGTCAGCTTCCTTTTTCCCTTGCTAATATTAACTCTGCACTCACCGGATACTCTGTATAGGCACTGGAAACAAATTGGCACTGCGGCGTCAGTAGTCTGAACTACATCGAATCGAGCACCTGGACACGCCAAGAACACAACGGCTTCTCTCACCAGAATCCATCCTTCATCGGTTCTGTACTAAAACTGAAGCCTACTGCAGCTCGCGTATACTTGCCACCGGATGCGAACACTTTCCTGGCAACCATCCACCACTGTTTAAAATCAAAGAACTATATCAATCTAATGGTGGGCTCAAAACAGCCGACACCCGTGTATCTGACCCCCAAAGAGGCCGAGAGCCACTGCCGCGCAGGAGCATCGATCTGGAAGTTCTGCAGCACGGATGACGGAGTTAATCCGGATGTCGTACTGGCCGGTATAGGTGTTGAGGTGATGTTCGAAGTAATTGCGGCAGCGGCCCTTCTGCGTAAGCTTATACCAGAGCTGCGTGTTTGCGTCATTAACGTGACGGACTTGATGATTCTTGAGAATGAGGGTGTGCATCCGCATGCCCTGTCCACTGAGGCATTCGATACACTTTTCACTCCTGATAAGCCCATTCACTTCAACTACCACGGCTACCCAACTGAGCTGCAAGGCTTGCTCTTTGGACGTCCTCGTCTTGATCGCGTCACTGTTGGAGGCTATATTGAAGAGGGTAGCACCACCACGCCTTTTGATATGATGCTTGTCAACCGTGTCTCGCGTTTCCACGTCGCTCAGCAGGCTATTCGTAGTGCTGCCAAAGCAAATGAAAAGGTCCGGATTTATCAGCAGGAGCTGAATGCTCAGCTTGAGGGGAATATTGTCAACACGAGGAAGTACATTGTGGAAACCCGCGACGGTGAGGGCCCTATCCCATCTGCCATTTGTCATGCACTACTGACTTTCGCTCTTAGATCCGAAGGGCATTTATGACACACCGCAGTTCCACAACTTCCATAAACCGACCGAATCATTCTGGAATATTGAGTAGTTCTGCTTGAAGCAATTCCAGTCATTTTAGATTGATCATTCATGAAATGTTACCATGAAATGAAATCTCGCCGTTTCTTTCTTCTCACTTGCGCCTCTCAATCGATCATGTTTACCTGTAACTTGTGTTGTGGAAACCCGTTAAACATATAAGACAGATAGTTTGGGCTAAGATCACCAAGCGGTCTGTCCCCTACCTTGGGATCCGCTCATAAACCCACCCTCCTCCCCCTCCTCCCCATCAGCCTACAAAAAGCCCACAGGGGCGCGATGATCATCAACATCTGGCAGTCGGTATATGCTCGAATCAGCCATTGCCCCTCCTACGCCGGATTCATCATTGCAGCATTGACACACCTAGGGCTAAGAGTACTCACGCAAATCAACAGATGACCAGGCCGACTGTTCCGAAGCAGGTACGGGGCCGGGGCCAAGAACTGCAGTCTCGAAGGATTTATAGTCGGTGAGATTCTATCCGTGCGCCGAAACTTGGCCTCGTCGCACTCGATCGCCGCACTGCCCCCGACTCCGCGAATCACCACACCACGCAGCGGATACCTGCAGGGCTCCAGGGCTAAGCAAAATCAGGGTCACTCTTGGAAGCTGCCTGGCATCTGTGACATCTGTCTTGTGTCCTGTTAATCTTGATACCATGGTTGTCGACAAGGGGTTTGGAGAGTATCTAGGTAGAAATCGGTAGGAAGCGGGTGTGGTCAATGCTGCATGGTGAGGGGATGAGCATCCATCGATGCAGGCAGTAGTACCTCGTACAATCTCTTAGATCTGACAAAGAGGGGCTCATCAATATCATTTTTCACATACCCCACGAAGACCCTTGCCTCCCGCGTGTCCACACAGAGGACCTGGCCCCCGCTTTCTACGAGACTGCTATCGTTCTTTCTAAGCATTTTGATACTTTCGATAAGGGTGGCCGCTCCACCAACCAATTTTATTAACCAAATTTTATTTTTGGGGGGGTGTCTCATCAGATTAATGTGTGCATGAGTTGTCGTGTGAGGGGCGCTCTTACCCAGCACGGCACATCTCTCCAGTTGGAATTCCTCCGTTGTGTTGATATCCCGCCAAGACTCTCTTTTAGGTGAGAGCTGAAAGATAAACCTTTGGATGCTTGACTGGATGATAATCATTCTCGATGAAATAATTGGCCGTATGGAGAATGAATGGACTACTCCGTACTTTTATAAAGTTATGAGGGATTCGTTGGGACTCCACTGTCTCTAGAGAGATCGGTTCCACTCCCTTTAGCAGCTCTGTGCATTCCCGTATACGAAGTATGAGATTCTGTGACCGTTCTATCGGACTTCCATGAACGTTGCCAGCTGTCTATTGATTTTGAAGGACTACACTTTCAGGTAGGATAGTTAACTTGAGACTTTAATCAAATTAATAAGCAGGACCTTGGTATGTGGATCCTTTGACTTCGTGTTTTTTTTATTTTTTTTTTCTCCGTCATAAATGCACTTCCGCTGCCATCCGAAACCGTGGACCTAGATTGTTATCCGATATTCCGACAAGGGTTAAGATTGTTTCTCATCTTGAAGCGGTGTACTCTTGAATCAGATTGCAGTATTTTGAACTCCGTACGGAGTACGTCTTTTCCAGGTGAGCCGCAGACATGTCAAATCGATGTTTATCGCGGAGTACGGAGTCCATGCTTGCGTGTTAGCAGCCGGAGACATGGAAACCGAAATCCCCCGCTTAGTGCCTAGTATCCATGACTCATTTGACCTCTTTTTAAAGCCCCGGTTTGGTCTGCTAACGGTTTTACCGGAGATGAATGGAGCCTTTCAGGGCTGATGTGAACTTGGCGATATCCCCGCTAAACCCAAAATGGATGATCTTGCGAGGCAAGTTGTAGCTCGGCCCGATTTTCGACCAGATCTCGTCAAATCTTTTTTTAATTTCTGACTTGGCTTTGATGTCATGGTCCATTCAAATGGTCCATAACGTATGAACGCATATAAAGTACGTTGCTCATGCAATCTAACAGGCTAGGGATGCCCCCACTGCCGTGGCCAATCTTGTGCGGTAGGGTCCTACCTTATGGACGTGTATTTTTTCCCTTTCTATACCAACTGGGGCCGGCCCGTTTATCAACCCGTTCTGGACGCTGGAAATCGCACATGGGACATTGACAAGCTTGAAATGTCGGGATTTGTTCCTCCGATGCGGGTCTTATACTCCCCGCTAGATTATTTGAATGGCGGACATGTATCCATGAGACCGTGGCTTTAGCCTTGAAAGGTCTTTCCCGATGGTGGGGGGCTAGTGGGCTCAGCCATATTTACTCTTATTTATACTCACCTTGTCCGCATAAATTTTAAAACCTGATACTTAGACCTTCTTTTAGTATTCTTTCGATTTTGGACAGACGGGGGTGGTCTATTAATCTCCTTTTCAGTCGCCCGAGTCTCTGTCCATCTTCCAATTTAATCAAATACTACGGATTTTCTGCTAGCTTGGATTTTCTCGCCATTTGCCCCCATCGTGGTTTTCTTAGAATCACTCATCTTCCTTCGCCATGGCCGACAGTTTACAACTGCTAAACGGCTGCCCTGCCTATATCGAAGGCGTTGATACCTCATATGGATATGTCCCTTCACTAGGAGCAGGAATTGCCTACTGCACACTTTTCGGTCTCTCGATGATCATCCACATAGTCCAATTCACCTGGAAGCGCCAATGGTGGGCAAGCGTGTTTAGTGTCGGATGTCTGGGTAAGGCCTGTGACACATGAAACCCTAACTGCCCGCAAGACTAACAAACACCAACAGTCGAAGTAATTGGCTGGGCCGGTCGTACCTGGTCCGCCAAATGCCCATACAACGACACTGCCTTCCTGATGCAAATCTGCACCCTCATCATCGGTGGGCTACCTTTTCACAATTAACGATCCATACCCAATCTAATAACCCACAGCCCCAACCTTCTTCACAGCGGGAATCTACGTCCTGCTAGGCCGCTTCATCCAACTCCTTGGCCCCAAATCCTCCTTCATAAAGCCAAACGTGTACCTCTGGATCTTCTGCACCTGCGACATAATCTCGCTCGTTGTCCAAGCCGTCGGCGGCGGCATGGCCGCCGAACAAGCCGATAAGATCGACGGCAACACCGCGCCTGGCACGCATATCATGGTCGCTGGCATCGTCTTCCAACTGTTCTCGATCACCATCTTCGCCGTCTGTGCGGTCGACTTCATCCACCGCACTATGCGCTACCGTCTGCTGCAGTCGGTGAACGGCTCGGTCCTTCCCCTGTTCGCTGCGATGGTGCTTTCCATCGTCTGTATCTATATTCGGAGTATCTATCGTACGATCGAGTTGGTGCAGGGATGGGATGGTTATCTCATCACTCACGAACCGTACTTTATTGCACTTGATGGGGCTATGATGGTCGTTTCGGTGGCTATCTTCAATGTGCTACATCCTGGATGGATGTTGCCCAGTGGGAAGTCTGATACGTATCCAATGGGCCCTACTTCGGTTGACCAACCGGACAAGTATCGGGATCCGCCTACTCACTGGTGATTTTATTTATAGGCATTGTGCTTATAGTACTTGGTCTGCCTATCTTGTCCTTTGGGATTGGTCTTGCTTTTCGGTGTTTCTCTTTGCCTGTCATGTTTTACTTATGATTACCCCAGCAAATACTAGATACTTAATCGGGGTGTTTTGGATGTTATACAGCGATTGACGTCGACATAAACTTACGATTAATTGACAATTCCATGTTGAAGATTTCAAGTTAAAACAAGAAAACAAGAAAACAAGAACAGAAGAACAGAAGAGAAATTTAATCATTGAACATTGTAAGCAAGAAAAAGCAGTGGTTGGCGGTTGGAAAGACGGAGATGACGAAGAAAGTGGTGGACACCAATGGCCCCCACCGGCGATCCGCAGAAGTTACATCCCGTACTGCAAGAAAGCCAGCGGGAACAAAGCAAGCAAGCGCACCATAAGAAAATATGACACTAAATATGAGGGTATCACTGAATTCATTTCTCATGCGCCCGACGCAGCTGAAACAAAAACCAACCAAGAAGGACATATCCCCCATGCTGTCGTTATCGCCTACAACATCATAGACCATCAACAGCTTCAATCCAGCCGAAGGTTGCTCCTACGGTCAGCGTCGCAAATGCCCAGACAGCTCCCCAAGTGGCAGCACCTTCGATAGAGACATCGTTGATGGTGCCTGCCACTTGAACAATTGTGTTGAGCAGGACTCCAAGCGCAAGTAGAATGGACCGAGAAAGCAACACTCTCGACTTGATGGTAAGTTTGCCCCAAGTGGTGCGACAAATGAACGCAGCCAGATTTTCACCCTCGCAGCAGCTTGTAAACCCAGTGGGAGTGGTTGAGTAGCCAGTTGAGCTGACAAATAAAAAGTCCCGCGCCGCCCAGCCAGCAGGAATCAGCGTCAGAAAGAGGACAGGCAAGCCGGCGGGACCAGCATGTGCCGCGCTGATATCTGGGAGACCCTCAAAGTGAATGACCAGCTGTGTAGGAAGCCAAGTCGCATAGCTGGCGTACAGCACAACGCTGAAAATCGAGGTTGCCAGAAGTGTTGTGAAGACAGTTGTAGTTCTGTCCTGTAGAATGTTTCGATTGGCAACTGCATCAGCAGGCGCATGCGAAAGATTGTGGACGGACGAGGATCGGCGCAGGAGGGCGAATGGGAGCGCTGTTGAGACAATAGTTACCCCATATGCTATGAGTGCAGACGTCGGACGGATGCCATAGAAGAACGATAGGAGAGAGTATGTTGGCAAGTGGGTGAGGAATAAGAACGATGACACATCACGGCCTAGTCGCAACCACAAGGTTAGTCTCTCTACACCGCTTACATATCTGTAGGAACCTCGTGTCCAGACGCAAGGGGCCATTTTGTATGGCAATTGACACTAACCATCAAATCCTAGAGCCCAGGCTGATCCGATCTCCATGGCCCTCCAACCTATTAAGCCCCCAACTTCCCACCATTCTTCAAGGTGTTTGCTGATAGGCCCGAGATCGCCCACCGTCAAGGTGGATGTGAGTGTGAACAGAACAGAGCTCACAGTGAGACTGCTCAGGACGACAAGGATGAAGCGGGCTAGTGATGGGATACACGCCAATCGAGAGGTCTGTGCAGTGGCCGCCATCGCGAGCTCGCGCGCAGATCGCGTGCCCTCGCTCCACGAAAGAGTTCGCTTCTTGGGAGTCTTAGTAGGCATTTTGAGGTTCCCAAATTTGAGGAGCGAGATATTTGAAATGCAGAGTTTAGATCAAAAATCACTGGCAATTGCTTTCACTCAGCTGAAGCTTGGAAGAGAAAAAGGCGGGTCGAATATTTGGTTAGCGGTGAGCATACGATGATGTCACTATTACTTTTTCACAAATTCAAGGACTCGGCGAGTTCAAATCTGCCACATGATACATTTACATTTACGGTCTCCTCCGTGAATTTAGGTATGACATACTTTACAAACTAACTTACTAATCTTGATCTTCACTTTCACGTTCCGCCACAGCAAGTTCAACTGTCCCACTCTCCCGTCCGCGGTTGTCTCGTACAACGACGCGATACTTGCCGTTGTCCCAGAGATCTTTGAAAGTCAATTCGCGAGTACGGCCAAGACTCTCAATGTCACCAATGCGCTTCAATGTTCCGTCCAGGTGCTTGTCGAAGTTCTCTATAGCACAGATTTCTTGGAAGGCACGTTGCATGGGTACTGAGTCAGCACGCACCACGGCTTGCGAATCAATGGTGAAGATATTTTCGTGATCATAGGATTGGATGAAGTCGGCACGGGTCATGATCTCGCGCGCTTCATGGAGCGGGATTTCGGGCAGGATGTGGCCTTGTTCTTGGTGGTAGTTTGACTCCATCTCTTTTTCTTTGTCTACCAGCGCTTTCGCCAGAACCATAGCGGCAGACTGTGTCATGGTTTGAATCAGCTTGAGTTGCATCGAAGGAACAGGAAACAGAGGGTCATGTAGTTTGTACTTACAGCGTACTTCTGCTGGTCCATCACATCATCATCCATCTCCATTCCGAGGATCCAGCACTTGTTTAGGAACCATGTTTTTTCGGCTTGGCAAATCTCATCACAGGTCCTCATAACATCATGAGACTTGGCCACGCGGTTCAAGAAGGATAGTCGACCGCCGACTTTGTCATAAACTTGCTCGAGGACCTCGGATGGAAGTGTCTCTTTGTAGAATTGCTGGCGATATTTCTGCAAAGCTCTCATCGCCTTGTCCTTAGGTAGATCTGTCACGGGAATGACCTCCATGCGGGTTGCATAACGCTTCAAGCGTTCGTATACCCAATAGTCATCACTGTTAAGAACTTGAAAGCAACTAAGTAAGCCTGTGAAAAAAAATTTAAGGACGTTTGTCAGAGTCTTACTTGTTGTAACGAGACCACTAGCAGCCCATTGCTCGGCACGCTGCTGGATAATCTCTAGCAAATCCTGTCCGTCGTGGTCGTCTCGAACTAAATGGGTACTGTTGATGATCAGAATAAGAGGAGTTGATCCATTCCGCCTTCTGGTGAGAGCCACTTTCTCTAGCTTGTTGAAGGCGCGTTCAATGTCCAAGAGAGCGGTAGTGTCCCTTGGTCCACGGATGCTAAAAAGGCTGCCGATATAGCTAGGGATTCCCATTAGCGTAATACATTTATGGCGTTGCAATATAAGCTTACTCCTCATGGAACTCGTAGTCCAAAGCTTTGCCCAGTCGAATTCGGAAGATTTCGAGATCAGCATGCGCTTCAAACATCGCACAGCTGTTGCCATTAATCTTGCGCATGGCCTCCAAAAGCATCGAAGTCTTGCCCGTACCCTTTTCACCAATTATTAGATAGTAGTGGCCACTTTGTTTCCCTGCTACAATGTCGTCAATTCTGGATTGCTCGTTGCGAACAACCCAATGTTCCTCATGGCGGTACTTGTGCTTTCCGGACACAACACCCGCAACCTCGAGGGCAGGATCGCCTGGGTTGAACGCATTGTCCATCTTGTCCAAGATCAAGTACTTGTAGTATTGATGATACCAGTATCCGGCCGCACTTGGGAGCAAATTAACCACAGTAACGTATGTCTTAGATAATATAGATTGACCTTACCCTAGAATGGCAATTGATGCCGCCGTGGTTGCTGCAGATTCAAGCATCTTAAGAATCGTAGATTTGAAACTGGGGTCTGAATCGCTGTTACGGCCCTGGCCCTGGCCCTCATCCGAAGCATTCTGATCGGTGGGGTCCGGGGTCATTTGACCGGCGTTCTGGGGGTTTGAGTTGAACCGCTTGGATGTATGTATCACAACGCGGCAGTCAATCTTGAGGGGTCTCAGCAGGCCCTGTCGAGCATAGGACCTCACAGGCTGTGCAAGTCGGCTCCATAGCATGGTGATCGGGCTTCTTGGCGTTTGTATGCCGGGGTGCCAAGTCCTTCAGTAAAAGGTGGGCAATCAAAAGTGAGAATGTGAATCTTCGTCAAAGATAACCAGTGCCCCAGATTTTTTGCGAAGGACTTGTATCAAAATTAACCAGAAAGGTTCAAGGAGTGTATAGGAATTCTAGTTTTGTAGATATTTCACGCAAAGCCCCACCTCCGAGGAATGACACGTCACTGATAAAAGAGAGACTCTAGGAAATTGGTGAGTTAGTTGGATATCAGATGATAAAGAAAGAAACAAAAAGACAAAAGAAGTTAACGAAAGACTAGAAGACATAAAAGGAGTTCAGAAAAAAGAGGAGGATTGTGGCTTAAATTGTGCAGTTGGCCTCAGCCTCAATGAACCAGGGATGCAGAAGGCTTGGCGATCGGATTAGGAACAGCCGTGGATTTTCGATCGTCATAGTATTCACGCGGTGAGAGGAGATCATTATAGATTCAATTCTCCACTTTAGGTCTAGGATTTTGTGAGATACACTGATTTCTTTTCTTTCTGAAGGTCTGCGTAGAAGACGGTGGGGTAGATCCATAGAAAAACTAGCCCGAGGAGAGGTAAACAAATAAGCCATCTATACGGAATATTCCGTGCGATGTATATAGAGCCTTTGCGTTGTGTAGCAAAACCAAGTAGGCTCTAAGTGACACATAAAGACATTTAAACACGAATTTTTTCTACCACTAGCGGTGAATTACTGTACAGGTGCCTAGGTAGTAGTTGACTGCAGGGCAAAAATACCCAAGAACCATGTCTTCCATGGTCGCTAGACTCTCAGTTTCGTATTTTTATGTGAAGGTTACTTTGATTTGCAGCTTTCGTTTCTTTTTCTTATTGCGTATCTTCAAATCTGTCCTTGCTATGGTGAAAGGCTACTAACAAAGCTGGTGGGGACATAACATAGTCATAGTTATTGCAAGGCTTTCAAGCACTTTGAATTCAGTAAGGAGAGCTTTCGAGATATATTCGAAGTGGAATAGCTAAATATCCCAGCATGCCGTACATTTTAGCTCGTTTTCCCAGGGATTTACCATCCTTGATCTATATTTTTGTCACATATATACACACGAACCAGCAGGGTCCCTAAAATACGTCATTGGGAAAGGAAGTGCCCCATGGACATGAAGGAACAGGTAAAGGTATCTGTACATTCAATGTTGAACTGTCTATATCTTTACATTATAGATGGACGCTTTTGCGCAGTTGAGTCCATATCATAGCATAGACAGTATTTGCTCTGTCAGCTTTTATACAGGAATTCAACCGTCCTTGCGGAGTAAAAATTAACATTCCTCTATCCATTAAGATGGACCAAATAGAGACAAAGCTTTTCAAAAGAAGTGGTTGATCACGAATAAAATAACATGCCATGGTTTACGGAGTAAACAATCGCTAGTGTACGTTGACGCACAGTCGAAAAGCATTGGTACTCCAGCACTATACTTGTAGATCTATGAAATTGGTATCAACAATCAACGGAAATTACATGCACAGACCTAGTTTGGAAATATAGTATTTCCAATCCGTGCACGGAGTACAAGCACTAATTACAAGCTCTTTCTTAAAAAAAATCCCAGTCAAATTGCAGACGCTGTGGAGAAAATGTCCCTCTCCGCGGCGCCCTTCCCCGAACCCACCGCCCGAGCACTTCCGAGGGTATGCCGCATCCGAGAAATTTTCTCTCCGGTTTTCCAATTTTATCGCCCTATCCATTTATCCTTGCTTTTTTCTCAACTTCCTGGGGTACGGGGTTTTTGTTTCTTGCTCAATTGCCCTTGTTCTCCTTGTATCCTACACTTAACTTTCTACCTGTCGAATCCCCCGCAGGTCCTCAATCTTTTCTTTTCCCATTCCATTTTCCCGAACTTTGTCTCTCATCCGTGTGACGGCTGTGAGATAAGAGTTTACTGTTATTACTTCGTCGAAGCTATCTTTTTATAACCGATTCGACATAATGGCACAGACCAATGGGGAGTTGGAGCACTCGAAAGGTGTGTGTTGGCCCTGGGAACACCATGCTGGGCTAGTTCCATTGGAATACAGCATGAGATTCGGATAGAACCAGATGCAGGGCATACGAGCTAACGGAGTAACAGAGGCTCCCCAAGCTTCTCAAGAGATTGCCAATGGCAACGCTCCCGAGGGCACAGAGGAGGACAACACGGGTGGTACGTCTGGTAATCAGGCGCAGAATCGTATAGCAGCGTTCTAATCTGACTACAGGTCTTTTCCAAATTTCCGTGAAGCTCCCTCATGCGCCGCATAAGATTCAAGTGATGGTGGGTTCGCTGTTTCGAAAGGCCACGAAGTGAGAAGAATTATCTGACCTGTCTGTTTCTCTAGGTCTCCAGCCAAGAACAGGTCCAGGATGTCCGCCAATCCATTGTCGAATTACCAGGAACCTTCCAATACACTTGCTTCCACCTTGAGTTCAACGGCAACCGCATCAACGACTTTGTTGAGCTGTCTGAGGTCCCGGACCTCGAGGCCAACTCCGAGATCGTTCTGGTCGAGGATCCCTACACTGAAAAGGAGGCTCGCATGCATGTTGTTCGCATCAGGGAGCTAATTGGTGCTTCTGGTGACCGTGTTGACAACCTCCATGGTATCTCCGCTGGCTTGTCCTTGCACGATGCTATTACGGCAGACGCTATCAAGGCTAACGAGTCGGAGAAAGAACACTCGCTCTCCAAATATGACTTGAATGGGGTTTCACCACTGCAGACTATCCTGCCCACCGCACAGGCTCCTCTGCCCAAGACAGTGAAGTCCATTTCATTGTCTGCATGGAACCCTGTCCCGTATAACCTCCGCCAGAAGGGTCACTTGCTTTACCTTGTGGTTGCTACCAACGAAGGTGAACAGTTCCAGATCACTGCCCATGTGTCTGGGTTCTTCGTGAACAAGTGCTCGAGCGTCAGATTCGACCCATTCCCGAAGCCAACACACCCGAAGAAGGGCAGCGCTCACTCCTTGCTTACTCTCATCTCCCAGCTCTCGCCCTCGTTCAATGAATCCTTCGAGGCTCTACAGGAGTATAACAATGAGAAGGATCTTTTGACTACTTTCCCCTTCCAGAATGCCATTCCCAACAGCCCGTGGCTCATCGCCCCCAGCACTTCGAGCTTGAATGCCCACCAGTCCGACATCACCCGTTCGCAGGAGAACTACCTGATCTCTGGCGTTGATAACGCCGAGACTCTGCGTGACTGGAACGAGGAGTTCCAGACTACCCGCGAGCTGCCCCGCGAGACCGTTCAGGATCGTGTGTTCCGGGAACGGTTGACCTCCAAGCTCTTCGCTGATTATAACGAGGCCGCAGCTCGCGGTGCAGTCCTAGTTGCCCGGGGTGAGGTTGCTCCTCTGAACCCCACTGAGGCGCGGGACGCCCAGATCTTTGTCTACAACAACATCTTCTACTCCTTCGGTGCCGATGGTGTTGGGACTTTCACCTCCGAGGGTGGTGACGAAGCCGCACGTGTGGCCGTGGGCAAGGACGTTCTCGGTATCAAGGCTGTTAACCAGCTTGATATCGAGGGTCTGTTCACTCCGGGGACTGTGGTGGTCGACTACCTTGGTAAGCGTATTGTTGGCCAAAGCATTGTTCCTGGTATCTTCAAGCAGCGCGAGCCCGGTGAGCACCAGATTGACTATGGTGGTGTTGAGGGCAAGGAGGTTGTGGCCACCCACGCTGACTTTGTTCCGGTCTTCGAGAAGCTCTCGAAGGCGCTGCGTGTCAAGCAGCACCCTGTCTGGGACAAGGAGAACCAGCGCCACGACCTCGAAGGTAGCGTCGAGACCAAAGGACTTTTGGGTACTGACGGCAGGAAGTACGTCCTGGATCTCTACCGTGTGGCTCCACTGGATGTTGAGTGGCAGGAAGAGGATGGCAGCGATATTTACCCCCACCGCATGTCCGTTCTCAGACTTGAGTTGGTCGAGTCCTACTGGCGCCACAAGATGAGCCAGTACGTGAAGGCCGAGGTGGAGACCCGTAAGGCTGCTAGCGCCGAGGCTGCTAAGGAAGGGAAGACCGAGGAGGAGAACGCGGAACAGGACCGTGTTGACATCTCTGGATTCAATTTTGCTCTCAACCCTGATGTTTTCAGTGGCCAAGTGCCCCAGACTGACGAGGAAAAGGAGCAGTGGACAAAGGATGAGCAGGAAGTCCGGGATGCCTGTGATCACCTGCGATCCAAGGTCATCCCTGACCTGCTCAAGGACCTTCACGACGGTGACGTCGGTTTCCCTATGGATGGTCAATCCCTGACCCAGCTGTTGCACAAGCGTGGTATTAACCTCCGTTACCTCGGAAAATTGGCTCATCAGTCCGCCGAGAAGGGACCTCGCCTGCAGGCCCTGTCCATTCTCCTGGTTCAGGAAATGGTTACGCGTGCCTTCAAGCACATTGCCAACCACTATTTGAACAACGTCCCTGCCCCCTTCGTCGCCCCGTGCCTTTCTCACTTGCTGAACTGTCTCCTCGGCTCAGATGTCAACGCTACTCCTAAGGCTGAGATTGACGAATCTCTCCGCGCCATCTTCCCCGAAGGCGATTTCTCCTTTGAGAATGTCACTCCCGAGTCCCTCCGGGCCGAGCTTGAGAAGCAGGTCACCATCCGCTTCCGCTTCTCTCTTGAAAAGGACTGGACCAACTCTCTGAGGCACTTGCAGCTTCTGCGTGACATCTCCATCAAGTTGGGTCTCCAGCTCGGTGCTCGCGACTTCGCCTTCACTAAGGCCCAGGTCAAGGAGCAGATTGTTGTTCCTGTCACTAACGGACCTACTCACGAGGAGCCTAAGAAGAAGGGCAAGAAGAAGGGCGGCGACAACAAGTCACCTACTCGCGCCGCTCCGGCACCGGCTAAGCCCGCCGTCACTTTTACTGCTGATGACATCCTGAATGTTGTTCCTTTGGTCCGTGATGCCTCTCCCCGCAGCGCATTGGCAGAGGAGGCCCTGGAGGCCGGTCGTATCTCTCTCATGCAGAACCAGAAGCAGTTGGGCCAGGAGCTCATCCTTGAGTCTTTGTCTCTACACGAGCAGATCTACGGTATTCTACACCCTGAGGTCGCCAAGCTCTACCACCAGCTTTCCATGCTGTACTACCAGACTGATGAGAAGGAGGCTGCCGTGGAATTGGCCCGCAAGGCCGTCATCGTCACCGAGCGCACCATGGGTGTCGATTCGGCCGATACTATTCTGAGCTACCTCAACCTGAGTCTGTTTGAGCATGCCTCTGGCAACACCAAGACCGCTTTGGTTTACATCAAGCACGCCATGGATATCTGGAAGATCATCTACGGTCCCAATCATCCCGACTCTATTACCACGATGAACAACGCCGCCGTGATGCTGCAACACCTCAAGCAGTATAACGACTCCCGCAAGTGGTTCGAGGCCTCTCTCTCCGTCTGCGAGGACTTGTTTGGCAAGGACTCTATCAACACTGCCACTATTCTCTTCCAGCTCGCCCAGGCTCTCGCTTTGGACCAGGACTCTAAGGCTGCCGTCGGCAAGATGCGTGAGGCATACAACATCTTCCTCGCTCAGCTCGGACCCGAGGACCGCAACACCAAGGAGGCCGAGAACTGGCTCGAGCAGCTCACCCAGAACGCTGTCTCTATCGCGAAGCACGCTAAGGACATCCAGGCTCGTCGCCTGCGCCGCAATCCTCTGAACCCTCGCGTCTCTTCCATGGGCACCCGTGTCCAGCCTCAGGTTGGCCAATCTGCACCCGAAATCACTGCCCCTGCAGATCCCTCAGGTCTTGACTCTCGCAGCATCGACGAGCTTCTGAAGTTCATCGAAGGTAGCGACACCAGCTCTTCGCGCTCTAAGCAGAAGAAGCGTGCCGCCACCAGTAACCCCAAGCTTCGTGGCTCTAAGCAGTCTAACAAGGCATAAATGATTTCCGAGCCAGCCAACTTCAGCCAATTTAGACTACTTTGATTGGTTCCCGTTCTTTATTTTTTTGGTTATTACACGTGTTGATATCTATATCCATTGGCATTTTGGGGATCGATGGGCAGGCTTGATGAGCGAAAAGAAATGTTGTATTTTAGATCTCTCTCCTCTCTCCTTCTTTTTTTTATATTTTTGGTTTCATCTACTAGGTTGGGTTGTCTCTCGGGTCGTGCATGGAAAAGACTCGGTTGTCTTATATGGGCTCATATCTGGTGCATTATACGGATCTGCAATTTGGGACAATTTAATCTCTCTGAGTAGAATCCGTTATGTTAAAATGCAAATACTTGAAATCGACTAGAGGGATACCTTTCAGATCTTGATCGTAATGACTTTGTTGATGTGCCGGAGAGACCAAGATCGCCATAATAGGCAATTTGTATTGGCGCGCTTTACCGTATTAGTCATTGGTTGTTTTATTTGTTTGCAGCTCATCTCCAATGCTGTCATTTGTTGTTTTCCACCTAACACGCCCTTTAATTCTTCAGCATATCTTATTTACATTTATAGATTGCTGCATTACTGGCAATATTTGGTTTAAGTGCTATCATTTTTCCTATCATGCATCGTTGAAGGCTTTGTTAGTACGGCGAGGTTGGTACAGTGAGACACCAATGACCCAGAGAAGAACCTGTGACAGTGCTGATTCTTCTGGCAGTTGTATGCTATTAGCAGATATTAGTATTCTTTTCGTCCTCAATGGAGGATGCCCAAGCCACCGCTAAATGGGCAAACCGTGTCCTGCGCCCCTTGACCTCCATCTGCCGTCGAATCGCAAAGCACAAAGAGACACTGTCGATGATCACGACCGAATCCAAACCACAAGAAACTGCAGGGTGCAGTGATGTGCCTACTTTAGAAAGCGACAACAAACCAGCAAGTCGGCAAAACCACTCGGGCTCGGATGCGGACCCGGATGAAAACGACCCAGCTTGGATTCCAGGGAAAAAGCCCGAGCGACGTCGACCCAGACACAAGTATTCGTCTAAAACAGAGGAGTCTCGAGGTAAAAAGCGCAATAGACTATCGGTATACAGCCCGGAAGCCCCACGCACCCTGCCTGGCGCTATTGAGGTCGCGACACCACTCATCACTGGGAGGAGATGGGAGATGCCCTCGAGTGCACAGTTAGAACGTCCGGCAGGCCATGTCAACCCCAACATTCAAACATCACAGCCGCAAGTCTTCCGCGATCGATATTCCCTCCACAAGAGCCCTTGGCACGAACTTCTCAACCAGTCTGGTGATCCGGGCTTCGCCGACATAGCACACAATCTTGATCGCGTCTTCCAAAATTTCCTTTGCAACACTATGATATCCATAAAAGAAGCTAAGCCCTTATCTGGAAACTGCAGGCGTGGTGCACGATCGTTGCTGTCCATGGTGGCGCGGAGCCTACCTAAATTTATAGCAAGCGAGCAAGACGCACAGGACGCGTTAGACGAGGATGGGAATGAGGATATGTGCGATGTATATTTTACAGAATTGGAAGCATTTTATGCTCCTTACGGGGCAGGTTGGAAACCACTCCGCGAGGCTGTCCGCGCACAGGGGATCTACTTGGTTTCCACTCTGATACAGAATCATTGGATAACGGAATCAATTGCCTGCGCGCTGATCGAAAAGTGTCGTTCCTTTGCGCCCGAAGAAAGTGACTCATTGCTCTCTACAGTGCTTTCAATGCGCAAAAAACACCTATACCCCCAGGCTTTAAGGCCAGTGGTTGACCATGATCCTTCGGATCCGATCCGATTGTTACGTAAATATGCTCATCATGGCGTTGCCAGCCGCTCTTTTGTCTTCGACGAACTTGCAAAGCTTCTCTTGCGGGGAGTGCTACCCCCAGAATGGATGGGAACTAAGTTGTGGACTAGCTGGATGACACGAGCAACGATATCCCTTTCGAGGGAGGATGAAGACTGCCCTGCAGCTACGCGATTGATCGAGGCTGTGATTCTCTCAGCTAGTGGCGTCCGCCCTGTCTCTGATGCTCAGAGTTCTTTATCAAAACATCCCCCGAAGGAAAAGACTGCTCGTGCTCGTGCGACCAGGGTTGCGTCCACCACAACATGGGAAATCTCTAATCTTGCGCGGCCTTGTCCCCTGCAGGTGGAAGATGCATTGAGCAATCACGTCATAAGCCTCATGGCAGCGCTCTGTGGCATGCACATTTCACGGTCTCGTGCTTCTGATGACAGTGACTGTTTGGATGGAACGAAAGCGAGCTATGTCACAAGCTATCTCCAAATAGCTCTACAGCGAGAACTGAGCTCAAATTATGTTGCGCAGCGGGTTCACAACACCCCTCATCAATTTTTACGGCGTGGCTGCATCTTGCTGGCCACTAGCCTTGTAAAGTGCAACGACAAAATTTTATTGAACGATAACCACTATGTGATGACTTCATCAGCCAGTGTTGATGAATGCGCGGAGATTATAGCAACTCATTCAGACATGGTTAGAGAGTTGGCATTGTTTGTGCACCAAGCGTTTCGTTGTCTCAAAAAAAGAACGCCAGACGCAACCGAACAGACTAGTGTCGAAATACGTGACATGATTTCGCAACTCGCTCGCGTAGCCGATGCACCGGCTTTGTCTGCCTTGCTTGGGCGGGTCGCCGCGGAAGCTGCCATGGAATTTGCAGAAGCTACAGGGGATCCCGATGACCACATGTGGGCTGTGGACGTTCAAGAAGTGGCCGTGGCAAAACAGCACCAGGCAGAGACTGCCCAAATGTCTTTGGAAGAACCCGAGCAATCTAGTCAGAGTACCGGCCTATTTCGTTGGGAAGATAGCATAGGCGAGTGGGTGGCGTCTACCCCGGTGACCAAGGGAAAGCCTATCCTTGTGCAAAAGGCCGAAAGACCCATGCGCATGCTATCAAGCCCAGTGCCCAGCATCGCTTCTTCTACCGACACAGACAGCAGCTCACCTGAGTCTGATCGCTTTCAAGACTATGTCTCAATTCTGACTTCATCTCCCCCGCAGATGGCGACCAAGCAAACTTTCGAGGACACAGACGTTTCATCAATACGGCCCAGAAAACGCCAACGACCCACCCCCGTGGTTGCTGTCGACAGAGGTGGATGCAATCCCGAAAAACGGTTTTCTACCGCGCCTAAATTTAATTCTACTGTGGAGCCAGTCACTCGTCGAGGCATCCTGCGAGAGCGCAGCACCAATCTAACCAGACGGATGACCCCCGCAGCACAACAGGCGCGGAAGATTGAAGTTGTGATCATCAATCACAAAGAAAGCAGCTCACGTCAGCCTATTGTTCGGCCGAGTTTGGAGCGTGCTGCGAAGCAAGTCCATCGTACAGTAGAGAGGCGAAGGTCTACGCGTCGTATTGTTGAGCCACCGGCACCTCGACAAACGCTCATTCAAAATTATCAGGATGATGACAGTGACGACGAGCTCAGCTTCTTCTGAGCGCGGTCGGGCCCCAGGGGCTTTCTTGGCTGATCCTAGTTGAGACACGTGATAGGATTCCCTGCGCTGGCAGAGTGTCCGAGATTCCCCAGAGTCTCCTGGCTCATCTAGGGCTCTAGGGCGTGTATCCCATTTTACATTGCCATTGGATCCCTTGGCTGTCTACCTGGCTGAGCTTGACCGATTGTTAACGAGATTTTGACACAAATTTTTTTTTTGCCGGGAACGGTGGATCTGGACGGGCTGGTCCGTTTCTTTTTGGGAAATCGGTGTTTAGGACTTTGTGATTTCATACCCATAGCCTTGGATTGGTGATTTTTGCTGTTGATATACGTCTATTCCGGACCTCTAGATTTGTTTTTCCCCCTCAACGTCGGACTGGCCTTTGGACCTCACGATGTCAGTAGAAAGATCTCACGGCTGGAGATCGATCTGAAACAAGTTGTCTGCGCACTTTATCTGGCACATTAGATAAAACAGATGGCAGACCGACGAAACTCTGGAGCCAAACACGCAGTGGCCTGAGATGATACAGACCTGCAGTACGGAGTAATCGGGGTGTAAGACATCATGGATACATGTTTTCCCGTTTCAGTTTGCCAAGCCACCAAAGAGCACGGAGTACTGGAGCAACATCAAGAAGGATAATTCCAAGTGCTATTGAGAGTGTTTGGCCAAACAATGTTTCTCGGAGGGCAATCCCCCCCCCCTGATATGCTCCGTACGGTACACATGAAATGCCAAGAAAATGAAGACGGATATCATCTTTCCTGGTGACTGGAACAGCCAACCGGACTTGTTTCAAAGCCCCTCATAACTACTCCGTACAGAAAGATGGGTTACTCCGTCTCAGTGGGTTGACATGGGCGCTAAAGGAGACCGGTCGAATATGAAAACGTGACTCTGCCCTCCTTTTCCCGACTTCCCGACTTCCGAACTCCAGATTGGCTCATCGATGAGGGAAAGGCCCCTTTCTCAAACAACCTAGGGATGGGCCAAGCATTGACATGGATCTATGCTGTGTCAATGTTGATCCACGTCAAACTCTGCATGTCCACTGACTGTTTCACTGTTCAATGCTGGCCAGTCACAACCCTTGATCGGTGTTTCCGCCACGTTATGACAACTCGGGCTTTGACCTGTCGCATATTCTAGGTCCACATTCTGTTAAAGTCTGCTGAGGTTATCTGCAAGTATGAGTCTGTGATTCGCTGCAATAGATCTGCAGGATTGTCTGCCTTCGTGAGAAATTCCTTGCGCCGATGGCAGAATCCCCCTCTTTTGAGAAAATTGAGAAAAGACCCAGAAATCGAAGGATGGAAACCGAATTCCACATGATATGGGGCCGTGCTGGAGGTGGAGAGTCGTTGAATTCTACATATTGGCCCGGTTGGCCCTCTCTGTCTTACTCTCACTCCCCTAGATTGGATACAAGGGGAAACAGTCTGGATCTATTTTTTGATCTTTGGTCATTCATTTTTAACCGCAATCAACTTTGTCTCATTTCTATAGCCTTTTTTTCTGAGACAATCTTCATTGTGTTCGTCAATCTTCCATCTTTAGTACATTTTTTTTCCCCTCCCGCTGTGACTGGATCACTGGCATTCCTTTCGTTGCCCGTCGACAACAGCCTTTAGCAAACATCGGCCGCTGTTCATTGAACATTTTCGCTTCTCACTGAGTCCAATTGGACTACGATATATCGACAAAATATCGACAAAAGCCTTTCATTCCACGCTTTCTCTCTTATCTACACATTAGATGCAGGCAGGTCCTTTTCTTGAAACCAGCGACCAACGGAAAACCCCTAAACGCCTGAACCCCTTCAATCCTTACTTCGACCGTTGGACCAAGCAACCTGGGGTTGTTTCGCTTGCTGTTCTACTCGGAAATATCTTTTGATCCTTCTGTGGGGTCGGTCTAGACACCAACGTTCCCCTTTTCAATCCACTCTTTCCCAGCGAGCCGGTCTCGCTAAACAGCACCCCATATTAAATCATAGGCACTTGACGTGCAGGGTCTTTGGTGGGTCATCATGCACTCCTTTCTTCTGGCGACGTGCCTCGCCGGACTGACCAGCGCAACGCATATTGAACATGTTGAAAAACGTGGTGGTTTCTCTCCCTATTACGAAGCCATCAATGATCATCTGGCTCGCTATACAATCCTCGCCCTTGGCTGTGCTGCCGCCGCTTATTACATCTGGCAGCTTGTTCTCCACTTTTCTTACCATCTTCGACGCCTGGCAAGCTTCAGCGATGACCGGCAACGATACTTCATCTCTACCCACAATGCCTTTGCCTGGATCAAAGGGCATATCATCTACGCTCCATTGTTCCGCAGCAGACACAACCGTGAACTCCAGCTCTCATCAGCCATTAACATGGGTACGTTGCCTAGCCGCTTCCATGCTTTCCTTGTCACCGCTGTTGTCGCCATGAACGTCACGCTCTGCTGTGTGACAACTCCTTATGGAGCCGAGACAGACACAACTGCTCGTGTTATTCGAAACCGCACCGGTGTTATGGCAACCGTCAACTTGATCCCACTGGTCTTGATGGCAGGCCGTAGCAACCCTCTGATTGCTATGCTGCACGTGCCTTTCGATACATGGAATTTACTCCACCGGTGGCTCGGCCGTATCGTGGTGCTGGAGAGTCTTGCACATGTGTTTTCATGGGCTATTCCCAGAGCCCAAGAGGAAGGCTGGAAACTTGTTGGGAAGTCGCTGGGAAAAAGCAGATTTTTGCTGACCGGCTTGGTGGCTGCTTGTGCATTTACTGCGCTCTTGCTGCACTCACCCTCGCCCATTCGCCATGCATTCTATGAGACATTCCTCCACTTGCACATTGCCATTGCAGCCGTTTCCATGGGGTTTCTCTGGGTCCATATCAACGGGCTACCGGCGCAGACGTATCTGCTTGCATCCATCATCCTCTGGGCCCTCGAGCGAGCCACCCGCTTCTTAATCTTAGTGTACCGCAACTGTGGCCGTGAATCCACCACCGCAACCATCGAGGTCTTGCACGGCGATGCAATGCGCATTACCCTGCGCATGGCCCGCCCCTGGACCTTCCGTCCGGGTCAGCACATCTACCTCTACATCCCAGCCGTGAGCTTGTGGACCTCGCACCCGTTCTCGGTAGGCTGGAGCGAAACCGAAGACAGCAATTCCGACGAGAAGTCCCTCCCCCTCACAAGCAGAGACATCCTCGGCGCGCCACAAAAAGAAACCATCTCTCTCCTCGTCCGCCGCCGCACTGGAATGACCGACAGGCTCTTCCAGCGCGCCGCGAACTCCCCGAGCCCGCAGATCACCCTCCGTGCCTTTGCCGAGGGCCCATATGGCAACATCCACACCATGGACTCATACGGTACTGTGATGCTCTTCGCCGGCGGAGTCGGTATCACCCACCACATCCCCTTCGTCCGCCATCTGGTTGCCGGGTTCGCGGATAACACCGTCGCTGCCCGGCGCGTCACACTCGTCTGGATCATCCAGTCGCCTGAACATCTGGAGTGGATCCGGCCCTGGATGACCAGTATCTTGGCGATGGATCGCCGCCGCGAAGTTCTGCGCATTAAGCTCTTTGTTACGCGGCCGCGCAATTCCAGAGAGATCCAGAGCCCCTCTGCAACTGTCCAGATGTTCCCTGGTCGTCCTAATATTGATACATTGGTCAGCAGGGAGGTCGAGGATCAAGTTGGCGCTATGGGCGTTCTTGTCTGTGGCAATGGTAGTCTGAGTGATGACGTTCGCCGTGTTTGTCGGAAGAGACAGACTCAGTCCAATGTTGATTTTGTGGAAGAGAGTTTCTCTTGGTAAACTGATATTTATGATTGAGATAAATTGCTTTCCTTTTGGCATTTGAGCATGGTTTTTTTTGGTTCTGGACGTTGTCGTCGTTTTTTCTTTTCCTTCCGCAGGGCTTAACTGTTGTATGATCCTTCACTTGTGTGTTTGGCTTGCTTTGCAGCTGAATTTTCTTGTATCTTTGGATACTGTTGTTGTTCTCTAGCAATGACCTTCCGGTCATTGTGGGTATATAAGGGAGTTGCATATATCTTTTCTACCAAATGCACAATTTGAATAAGGGTTGTTCTTAACCTGGGCATCGTGGCTCACAATGGTATAAGTATTCTGCGGACTTTGGATCCTTTCACAAAGGGTAGTTCTTTTAAGATCAAGCTAGGTAGAGCCCGTTTTAGTTACTAGATATCTGAATCATCTAACCGCTGCTCAAATTCAGTATGCTTTGGTTCACATCCTCCAAGACCCCTCTGGTTTGCGAGGTTACCCATTTTCCAATGAGGTGTGTAGATGGAATTTGACTTGAACCCAAGTTTTCGGCGTACCAAGATTGCTAGGACAAGGCAGATCAGCATACGAAGCAGTGGAGAGACGACAATGGGACCATTAGGCCTACTTAATGGGTGTCCTTCCAGTCGTTTGCTGACACTGGATCTTTCCATTCCATGCCCCCAAATGAGATAGCCCGATGGATCATCGAATTACTTTCATCTGCACCATGCCAGTGGACTATGCCGGGGGGGCACCAAACAGTATCGCCAGCTCGGACTCTCCGGGGCTCCTGTCCTTTCTCACACACCCAACCAGATCCAGTCGTTATTTCCAGGAGCTGGCCTTTCTCATGACTATGCCAATGAGTCCGAGCACATGGGGAAAATTTGACGTCAAGGATTGATACGTGCTCGTCTTTGTGCAGGTGACTGAAATACACATCGCCGCTGAAAGTCCCCAGAGTTTCCTTTGTGAATAAAGGTTCGCGCGACTTGGCTGCGGGTATGATAGTCATGATGGACTTTTCAACCGTCGGCGGTTGTAGTGGAATATTTAACACGATCAAAGGATGGATTTCGTCGAATACGAAGAATCACAGAATCTCCGTTGCTGTGTCTTCTTATGTCTAGTCCTCATTTGTCAAAAGTTGAGCCCCACATATCGCTCGGTCCTCGACACCAAAATCTTGCGGTGATGATGAGAGCGTTAAGATCGATGACCTATCGATTCTTTACGCATGGAATGTGGATTTTAGCGCAGATAGTTGTCTCGTCTACGAGCGGCGATGGAGAATTTGGCCCTTTTAGAAAAGCCCATTTTGGAGACAGGTTCAAATGCCAACTACGTCGTATATTCATGGCGTATGTTGTAGGGACGGATGATCCATTCCCCTCCTCACTGGGGTCTACAACAGATGGGCTCCGTGTGCACCGTACAAGCTCTAGATCAATATCTGCATCATCAAGTGCTATAGAGCTATTCGGGAGACGAGTCCATACTGGACTGATTTTGCCCGTCTAGATCACATTTCTAACCCCTGGAATTACAGCAGCGATGTTCCCTAGGAGCTTCCCCAAGATCAACATCTCATGAACGCCCTACGCTAATGCATATACGCCCCTGGTAGTGAAGATGGTCTTGTTTGATCATCCTACGGAGTACTTTAATTACAGAAGAAGCTCTGAATTCAATGACGGAATGAGGTTAATGGATTTAAAATTGAGGATTGGGATTGGTATCACTAGCAGATTACCCTAAATAGGGTAGGGGTCATTTGATCTACATAGGCGCCGTTTGAACGACCTCTATTTTTACCCCCCTTGGTGGCCTTTGTCTCGCTTTCAGGCCAGTGTGGCATTGTCTCTTTGCTTCAGAGTCGTAGCTAGATTACCACTCTCTATCTTCTGATCATCTTGCCTCCTTGCCACGGAGAACGCTCCATGTATCACATTATCTCCACTTCAGACCACTAAATACACGAAGTACTCCGCACTCCGTACCTTTGCGATCTTTTTTTTTCCCCCTCCTGCATGAAGAACCTGGGTCGTAGTAATGACCGCATAATCTCCCTCGTGGCTGGCTGAATCGAAGATCGTAAAGCTCTACCCAAGCACCACAGCCAATCCTACGGGCCCGCAATTGCGTTATTATCCTAGTGGGATATACAGCAAATTCGACACTGCAGGGTGTCTGCTTCCGTGGTGCTACCAATCGAAGTCTTATAATTGTTGGGGCTGTAGAGAAGAGACCAAGCATGACTGACCAAAAGAATTCTCGATTGACGGATGAGTGCGAGGGAACGATTTGATGCATCCATTGACGAGGGTTTTAGACACCGGAGACATTGATCACATTGGGATCGTGTGCATGATGTATGCACCTCGCCTTGGGAGTTGTAGTGCTCTTCGACCTTTCTCTTGCTCCACTTGTTACGTCTAGTGGCCATCTTGGAAATATAATTTACGATCCAAGATGTCGGTTTTTAACTTCATGCCAGCCCTGCTAATCAGGACCAGCTATTCCAAATCAACATGGCTACACAAACGATCCAACCTCAACTCGGCTCCCTCCAGCCATATGTCCATCCACCAGAGACCGAAGAGCCCTGTAAGTCCTGATCCCTAACGTTCATTTTCTTCGGCTCACCTAGAATGGTGAAATAGTACAGTATGCAGACTTGACCATCATCGATCTTGGCGAGTTCGACAAACCCGGCGGTAAAGAAAAACTAGCCGCTCAGTTGAAAGATGCGGCGCACAACGAGGGTAGGGTCCGCTTGTGCCAACCAAAGCTCTATGGATGCTAACTAGAAAAGGCTTCTTCTATGTCACCAATTTCGGCTTGACTCAAGCCGAAATCAATCGTCAATACGCCATCGGACGCGAATTCTTCGCTCTTCCGGAGGATGTGCGCAAGTCCTACCGCGCCCCTCTCGAAGAGGGGATTTACAATGGCTACCGGCCACTAGGATCTATCCAAGTTCTCCCGGGCCTATGGGATAACATTGAATTCTACAACATCATGAAGTTTTTGCCGCAGTATGAGCGCGAGCACCCAGAAGTATTCCGTCGGCACTGGGACGAGATTGAACGCTTCCATCGCCACGTCCACGAGCATGTCGGGTACAAGTTGCTCCAGCTTCTCGCCATAATCCTGGAACTCCCAGCAGACCAAATCTCAAACGGTCACCTGTACGAGTCGAACTGCGATAGCGGCCTCCGTTACATGATGTACCGCGCCCGTTCGGCAGAGGTGAACGAGCAGTTCAAGGATCTCTATTCCCGTGGTCACACCGATAACGGCACAATTACATTTCTTTTCCAGCAGCCTGTTGCAGCCCTCCAGGTCAAGAAGCACGAGGATTCCCCTTGGGAGTGGATTCGGATTCCCGAAGGTACTTTATCTGTCAACATCGCTGATATGCTGTCCATCCTTTCCAACGGATACTTGAAAAGTGGCGTGCATCGTGTCACGGTCCCTCCCAAAGACCAGCAGGCGCAGGACCGTCTCGGACTTTTGTACTTTGTGCGGCCCAGTGATCGACTGACTTTGAAAAGCTTTGATAGCCCCCTCCTCCGCCGCTTGGGGTACTACGAGGAAGGCAAGAACAGTGAAATTGATATCCCCGCTCCGGAGTGGACTCGAGCGCGTATCAAGAAGAACTGGTCACGATCGCCCACAGATCCCAATGCGGGGACACAAATGGCTGGGTTTTCAGTGAAGCATTTCCACGATTAATTTTGAGGATTCGTCTTCTCAAATATGGAAATTTCTGGACCTCTCTATGTTGAAACACGCTATCTAAGCGGGATGTACATGTCACTTTTCGTACAACATAGACCCAGAACTTGACTTGCTCACTCATTCAATTGATATCTCATATCCACCATGCACCTCGACGTAGTCCTTTCCCGGTGGCAATTGGTAAGAAGAACACGTAATTGACAAGCCCATAATCCCCAAAAAAAAACAAAAATTGGATTTCGATTACCTGGAGCTGCACGAGCTGAAGTTGGAGATCAAGATTTGCTTGATAGATCATTTCCAAGCATGAGAAGGCCACGTCACTAAAGGTGCATTTGACTCTTTACACACGTTATTATCAAACCGGGCATAATTTTTGGGGGGTAAAATGTAGACTTGTAACTATTTCCCATCCAATTGGGAAATCCTTTCTTTTCTGCTAGAAACTGTAGTCACTGCAGGTTTCATACAGTCTTCTTGTCAAGATGTCAGATCTCTTCCAGAAGATCACCGCCCCGAACGGTGTCACCTATGAGCAGCCCCTCGGGTTGTTCATCAACAACAAATGGGTGACCTCCAGCAACGGCCAGAAGATTGTCTCTATCAACCCGACGTAAGTTTCCAAACACACTCGGCACCTACGTGACTATTAACTGTGTGGGGTAGAACCGAGTCAGAGATGGTTTCAGTTTATGCCGCGACGGAAGAAGATGTGGATCTAGCCGTCCGTGCAGCCCGTGCTACGTTTGAGAGCGAGGCCTGGCATGGCATAGATGGCACCAGGCGCGGTCAGCTGATGATGAAACTTGCCGATCTTGTCCAGCGTCACCAGACAGTTCTTGCAACCATTGAATCATTGGATAATGGAAAACCCTACAACAAAGCCCGGGGGGATATTGATGAAGTGTGCAGTGTTTTGCGTTACTACGCCGGTTGGGCCGACAAGCACTATGGCCAGACCATCGAGACATCCCGCACAAACTTCACATACACAGTCCGCGAGCCTATCGGTGTCTGCGGCCAGATCATTCCGTATGTGGTTCCCTCCCTCCCGCCGTAGCATGAACATCCATTTGATGAATGTCACGTAGATGGAACTATCCCATCGGAATGGCTTCATGGAAGATTGGCCCAGCCCTTGCCTGCGGCAATACCATTGTCATCAAGGCTTCGGAGCACACCCCGCTGTCAATTCTGTATTTCGCCAACCTGGTCGCAGAAGCCGGATTCCCGCCAGGCGTTCTTAACATCATTAATGGTCACGGATCCGAAGCCGGCGCTGCCCTCGTCCAGCACCCAGAAGTCGACAAGGTTGCCTTCACTGGAAGCACGGCTACTGGCAAGCGGATTATGCAGCTAGCCAGCAGAACCTTGAAGAATCTCACGCTGGAAACGGGCGGCAAAAGCCCACTGGTTATCTTCGATGACGCCCCACTCGAAGACGCCGTCAAAGCGGCTCACTTTGGCGTGATGGGAAACATGGGCCAGATATGCACAGCCACATCTCGGGTTTTTGTACACGAGCATATCTACGATTCGTTCATGGATGCGTTCGTCGCTTATGTCACTAGTGTCAACGTCATCGGCGACCCATTCGACCATCATACGTCCCAGGGAGCCCAGGTTTCGAAACAGCAGTTCGATAAGATCCTCGCGTACGCCCAGGTTGCAAAGGATGAAGGTGCCACAGTTGTTTTGGGTGGTACAGTAGCAGAGAACAGACCGAATGACAAGGGGTACTTCATCTCGCCGACTGTGGTGGGGAATGTCACTTCCAACATGCGCGTGTACCGAGAAGAAATATTTGGCCCATTTGGCGTCTTCATCAAATTCAATGATGAGAATGATGTTATCCAAATGGCCAATGATACGGATTACGGTCTCGCTGCTGCTATCTATACTCGTGATAATGCCCGGATCCACCGCATTGTGCCAAAACTCAAGGTTGGTATGGTGTCTGTCAATGCGACCAATAATAGTGACTTCCGGGTTCCGTTTGGGGGTGTGAAGCAGAGCGGGATTGGGAGGGAGCTTGGACAGGCGGGATTGGAAGCATATTCTAACATCAAGGCCGTTTTGATGAACATCGCCTAGCCAGGAGAACCTTTTTTTTTATCTTCTTGTCTGAGTTGAACGTGCAAATCATCGTGAATTGTTACAGCGGTCAGCTTAAAGATGGAATTTAACTGGATCGAAATAGGCGACGTGATGATTACTATAGAGTGGTGTATCAAACGACACATTTTAACCTTAGATGAAGTAGAGTTAGCCAATCACCAACTGCAATTCATTCTAAGCTAGTCTAAAAATGAGGATTCTTCCCTACCATCCGAACCTTGGAAGCTATGTTGTATAAAATCTCATCATGCCTCTCTTTTTATTTCGTCCACAGTCAACTACACTCGCATCAGTCTCTACAACATATGTGCCCCCTACGAGACTTTCTGTGATTTATGGGGCACAAATGACTGCCTGGTAATTTAGATGACTATAGACGGGCACTGGCGCATGTCGATCTTGGGGCAATTCTTTACTCTGTCTTGTGAGATAAATGCATGAATTTCAGTAGCTTTCAATGCTGCTCCAGTCATTCCCACGAACGTGAAACCACAAAGCCGAAGTTCTCGCACGAGTTGAAACCCTAGTTGTACTTTCGCAACCCTAGTTGGTGAAAATTTTGTTGTGTCGTATGATGGGGTCGCTAGTGAAGATAGCGTTAGTCTCAAGGACTAGAGTCGAAGGAGAGACATTTTTACCGCACCTAAAGCGGGGGAGCTCCTTGGAAAAGTGGGATGAAAGTAAATTTAATAGCAAGCAGAAAAGGATTGTTAAAGGGCCAGGGTCTGTCGAATGAGAGGCACTTGCAGAAGAATCAAAAGATGAAGCTGGTCTTGATCATGAAACAACGGGATTTTTATAGGCCCCAAACAAGGGCTGATCTCAGCTCAGATGTTTTCTGTCTGATTATCCATGAATTCTGCGGGAGCCTAATTTTATTCTTCTCTCGATCAAACCCACATTTGTTGATGCTGTGAGAAGTCCGACTATGCACAACAAGAGGGACCCCCTTCAGTTTAGGTCCATTCTAGGTTTAGTCGGAATTCCAGTGCAGCAGATGAAAGTAACAGCGAGTATTCTCCACCTAAGGGGTGCGACAACTTTCAGCAGGTCCCACATCCACGAATACTGCACAGCAAGGCCGCAGAGCGGATCTATTTCCTAAGAAGTACAAGCTAACCGGGTTGTCACCTAGGCAATGTGATTATTCAACGAGCTCGGAAGAAGATTACGCGAGCACGAGCTTATAAATCTACAAGGTGGGGGCCAAAGACTGGATATGACCTCAGCCATCACATACAACATACTTCCACCATCGATCTATCTTCAACCTACAGCAATTGTTCAGCTTACTCTTCAGTCCAAATTTTCGGTTGATCAATATGACGCAACCAAATATCACCCTCTACACAACCCAGACCCCAAATGGGATCAAAATCTCTATGGCCCTAGAGGAACTTGGGTATGGTAGCTTTCTTGACCTTTTAAGCTTCTGACTGACAGATCGTAGCCTGCCATACAAGGTCGAGAGGATTGACATCTCAAAGAACACTCAAAAGGAAGAGTATGCGTTTGCACCTCTACAGACACCCTACCCAAACAGACCTAACTATCGTACAGCTGGTTCCTGAAGATCAACCCTAATGGCCGCATCCCTGCCTTGACAGACACCTTCAGTGATGGCCAGGAGATCCGGCTATTTGAGTCCGGTAGCATTCTGGAATACCTGACAGAACAGTACGACACAGATTATAAGATCTCCTTTCCCAAGGGCACGCGGGAATACTACGAGATGAAGAGCTGGCTGTTCTTCCAGAATGCAGGGCTAGGACCTATGCAAGGCCAAGCCAACCACTTCACGCGGTATGCGCCCGAGCGCATTGAGTACGGCGTGAACAGATACGTCAATGAGTCGCGGCGACTGTATGGTGTTTTGGATAAGCACCTCGCTGAGTCTAAGTCTGGGTATCTTGTCGGTGACCATGTTTCTATTGCCGACATCTCACACTGGGGATGGATTGCTGCTGCCGGATGGGCCGGTGTCGATATTGACGAGTTCCCGAATGTTAAGGCTTGGGAGGAACTCATGGCCCAGCGACCGGGTACCGAGAAGGGTCGTCATGTTCCGACTCCTCATACCATTAAAGAACTCATCAAGGATAAGGCGGCGGCAGATAAAAAGGCTGCTGAAGCTAGGGCTTGGGTCCAACGGGGAATGCAGGCTGATGCCAAAGCCAAGGCTTAAAAAGGAATAACTAAGGCATTAGTGAAAGTTGAAAAGCAAAGCAGATCGTTTGAAACGAAAATTGGATCAAGAGACCATGAACTTCAGACTTTTTTGGTATATCGGTTGGTGTTGTGTTACTCTTCACATAGGACATGGTTGTACACCGGGATTGCAGGCTGTGTGCTCCATGGCTTTCCCTGGTTTAATACACACCCCTTGTCATCGATTGATCGCTGAGTATCACAAAACAGTTCTTAACCCTACCTTGGCACAAGCACGACGAATAGTCAACCCCAATCTCCACCGAAGGTGGGATAAAGGCGGAGAGTCCAGTAGGGTCCAAATCGCGACAGGTTTCTTCAGATGGGCGGGAAGACCTAGTGTTGATCGGAATCGAGATCAAGCTTTGGAGTCCCTACCCTGCCCTTCTTGGTGGAAAGCCACTCCGTTCAGTCGATGGCATGGCGTATGAGATCTTGTCGCAAGTGTAACTTGATCGCACAACCTATGAGAAGGATAAACATTAGCTAAGACCTTATTTAATTGGCCTTTTGAATAATGACGATAGCATCGAAAAGACTACTGAAGGGTTGTTTTCATGTGGAATGACATGATGAACTACGGGAAGGCACACTTGACCCAAAGCAATGGAAGAAGTACAATATAGGAGCGGTTCGGAGACTTAGATTGAAACCCGGAAAGATGAGAGATTAAACCGTTCTACCTATCTCCATAATAATTGTCAGCCCTGGATTACAATTTTGATAAGGTGCATAAGTAGTCTACCTCGGAGGTCCCACTGCTTAGGTATAACAAGAATAGTCGGCCACGTTTGCGGCCTTGTCACGTCTTTTCGTAGTCTTTCAGGGAACTGATGACATGTACAACAGTCTACCCTATAAAGATTCACCACCTCCACAGTGGCGTACTAGCGTATAAATTAGCGTAGTATTTAATATGGTATTTTACAAATTGATACTCCATCATTCTTTTAAAAAACAGAGTTCTCAACCTTTCAACTCTCCATTT